TATTCTTCTTATTTTCTCTTTTGATTAACTTTTTAAAAAATTCCTGCGATTTTGACGCAAAGACATGTCTACGTCCCCGCGAGGGGTTTAGCATTAATGGAAAACAGACATACAGGCAGATAGACAGATAGATAAAGTGCCATGTTAACGAAAGATTCACCAAAATTTTTAAAATTTTCTATTTTTAGTAACAAAATGTAAACGACCGGTAAGGAGGAAGTAGTGCCTATGTAGTGTTAGACTAAGCTAGTTATTATCAATTAATTTCGATTCCCTGGACATCTCACATATTTCAATACACTTGACCCTAATAATGTTTTATTGTTGTTAACAAAGTTGTGAACATCGCGCATGTGTAGGAACACGTGAAGAAGTATTGCACGTTGTTGCGCCGTTATATGTCGCAACGCCGCTAAATGTCGCACTTACCGCTAAATGTCGCACCATTGCCGCTAAATGTCTCAACTGCCGCTAAATGTCGCAAAATCATTTGCCGTTAAATGTCGCAATGTTAACGTTAAATGTCGCACTAATTTCCGCTACCGTTAAATGTCGCAACACTACCGTTAAATGTCGCAAGATATAAATTCATGTTAAAATCATGATTAAAAGTAGTAGTATTTTAATTTAAAACGCTCTCATAGTTATTTTTACTGCAATTGCCATTTAACAAAAAGTATCTTTGTTTTAAGTGTTTCTTTTTTTATGAACCTAAATATCGAGCTTTTTAGCTGCTAAACAATGTTATCTTGACGCTAGAAAGCGTATTATAGGAAGATACAATTGAAATTCAAGTCTCAATAGATAAGTACTTTTCTTTTATCTCCCTTTTTCATTCATAACCCTGATTGACAACATCTTAAAAGTATTATGATATTGTCGCAATTTGAATTCGGTTTAAGTTATTTCATTGATTTGAAGACCTTTTTTTCTTGCTAGTACTAATAGTAATACAGTCATACTAGGGCAGTTTAAGCCCTATTTACACAGTCCCGGTTTTGTGTCCCGGTTTGCCACGGTTTAGTCAACCATGATCAACAGTAGTAAACCGGCGTTGGGTCGTTGAAATTCCGTGAAGTAAAGGGAAAAACCATGGTGAACCGGAACAAGAGATCACCACGGTTGTCTTCAAATGTTTAATACAACCGGGGCTCACCGGCACTCACCGAGAGGAAGCCCAAATCCGTGTTCTATCGGCTTGGAACAGGGAATTGCCGGGAAACCACCGTATCTATACTGCATCCATGCCGTGACAAATCGCAGTAAACCGGGATACGTGTCAGTCAATGTCCAAACGGCAAAGTTCCGGTGATGACACGATGTTGCCACGGTAAAACAGGCAGAGCTACGGTAGAGCCAGGGTACATTTAGGTCACTTGCAACAACGCTCCGGTTGGAGCCGGTAATGTCCCGGATGTTGCAGACAAGTACGGTTATACAACGATGATAGATGGTGGTGTAACATCCTCAAATTTAAAGAACAGGAATATATAAACTACTTTGGACCATTTTGTTTAGAGAAGGAACACGGGCATGGACAATTTGACAATATTTATAATGAAGCGTTACAGATTAAGATTTTCATTACAGCAAAGCAATGATATAAAAAGCCTAAATTCTGGCCAATACGATTAGCTGTCTTCAGCCAAATAGCAAGGCCAATATGAGCTAACCCATTATTTGTATTCTTATTATATGGTATTTACTGAGAATCTTTCATAGGATAAAGCGACTTGGCGAGTAAAATATCACTTGCCACAATGTCAAAGCGTAAATAGTGTTTGACAAATCGTACAATGTACTAAATCTTGTTAACTCATTCTAACTTTGACATCTGCTTACTCTGTGAGTATTTGCGTTTATTTATACTCGCCACCGTTTGTCCATATGGGCGAGTCCTCCAGAAGTGTATTAGTCATTAGTCATTTTAGATTTTGGAAATAGTGCAATTACAAGTACAGAAAGATGCCCCAATTCCAGAAGCTTCCCCTGGTTCTTTAACGTGTCAAGTTGTTTAAGCACCCATACATGGGACCTCTATTAAAAGTGTTATCCGAAAGACTGATTAGTAATTTTAGTTGGCCAGTCCGGGAATCAAACCCACCAGGTCGAGATTACAAGTCTCGCGCTCTAACCGATTGAGCTACGGAGCTGGCTGCTAACAAAAATTCCGGTGCATATTACATGTGTTAATCGTAAAATTCGGTCATATCTAACGCCCGACTGCGGATCGAATACTACATGATCAAGGAGTACTACATGATAATTTAAGTTATTATCATTAGCCGTGTTTGGGACTTAGATTTTGATATTTGTTTTATTCTAGAATCAAAGTTGGTAAAAACACGTATACATTGGAATGCAACGGGCACCCGCTAAATTTTCTATCCAGTCCGCGCGACAAACTTGTCGAAATAGGTCAACTCAAAAGTTGCAGAAATTTTAACAAAATCGGATTGACCTCCTTATTTTGAAAGAACGAATTTTAGACCAATGAGGACAAAGGAGGCAATCATCTCTAAACAAATCAAAATTACTTTTATAAAGCGGGTGTTCGATAGAACTTACAAAATCTAAAAAATTTATAACAAATTCTGCTAATTACAAACATGTAATTAATCATATGCATCCCAATGTATTCGGTTAATAACATTTAAATAGAAACCAACATAAATCACAGTGAGCCCACATTGAATTGGTCAGAAAACGTTCCTGACATGCCTTCTTCGCATGTAAGTATGCGAATTCTGTTAATTTTAAATGTAATATATTAAAATTTTTCGTCTTATTAAATTGACCTGTTATAAAAGACGATAACTTCTATAAACGTCTTGGCCAATTTTAAAATAAGTGCATTTTAATTATTAAATTTTAGAATTCTTAAACTAAGTATGGGATTGCCCCATCTTCCTCCCATGGCAGAGTTTGTACTTAAAGACTACCCTTTCATGGGGGATATCGTATGCACATAACACATGTACGGATATAACATTAAGTAAAGAAACATCAGCTCCCCCTTTTATAGGTTATAAATGAAGTATATGCTCCGCCCATATGGTCTCTTTCACGCGGCACGGCAAGGCACGTACGCACAACACACACACACACACACACACACACATGATGATTTTTGTTTTCGATTTTCGTATAGACCGTGCATTTCATACTATGTTTTACCTGCCAGGATCATCTGTCCTTTAGAAATGCATTAGTATATTTATATGAAATAAGTATTTAAGTTTAAAGTGAATATGTTTGAAATTAGCCGTAACCAAAAGGTTAATCAGAACGAAAACATCTTAGAGAAATAAACGGAATAACTTTGCAAACTGTATCTATGATCATCTGCCCTTTGATATTGCATCGTATGATCATAGTAAACAAATAAACCACATTTAAAGTAAATTCGGTAGTGTCTGAGAAAATAAATGAAATTACTTAAACCAAATTCTGAGAGCGACAATACCAGAGTACCTTTAATCTGTTGTCAATCAGGTTCACAAATGAAAATGGGAAACAAAAAAAATACTTATCTATTGAGAATTTAGTATCAATTATCCTTTCTAGCCTAAAGATTACATTATTTAGTAGCTCAAAACCTCGATATTTAGGTTCATAAAAGAAAACAAGTAAAACAAAGATGGCAATTACAATGAATATAACTATGAGAATGTTAAAAAGTAATATAATACTACTTTAATCGTGATTTTGAAATGAATTTACATCTTGCGACATTTAACGGTAGTGTTGCGACATTTAATGGTAAGGGAAATTCGTGCGACATTTAACGTTAACATTGCGACATTTAACGGTAAATGATTTTGCGACATTTAGCGGCGGTTGCGACATTTAGCGGCAATGGTGCGACATTTAGCGGCAAGTGCGACATTTAGCGGCGTTGCGACATTTAACGGCGCAACACACGTGAAGTATGAGGTATGCCCATGCACAGGGTGCATATTCATATCGGTGCCCTCTTTACTAAAACGGTACCCTCTGCTGGGCATTATCTGCTGAAAACAAGAAGTAGGCGACATACATCAATCAAGTAAATGCCAATTTTACTGGTAAAAGGTGGTGTGTCGAGAGGAAAAGAAGTATAACACGAAACACTAAAATGTTTAAACCATGTCTTTCTAAGGAATTTGTCCTTTCTTCAATTCCTGAAAGCCCACAAAAGCTACGCAAAATCGCGATGTTTCGCCACACCCACCGCCTCGGCATGTTCTGTCAATGAATTTATTATGTACACATCAACTATTTTTCATGCAATCATTTTAATATTATCTTCGGACAGATATAAATAAATAGTCGCAATTGCATTTTAAATTCATAAAAACACCTTTCGGTTTCTCAGCGGCACTTGTTACCTCTTTGCTTTCCTGCCACAGGTATCCTTCCTTTGTATTTGTTTAAAGCACCGGTTTCCCCTTTATCACTGTAATAATTATGTACATTTAACATCAGTCCTTTACTTTTTATCATCATAGTTTGCATTCATGTAATCATGGTTATTAAGAATTTAAGGTATTTATTTTGAAAGAACTCACTGTGACGATATTTTTGATATTTAATTATATATTTATATGTTGAATGAATGTGTTGTTCTGTTCTGTTCTAAACCGTCTCTGATTTCTGCAATCACTATCCATCACTATCACTAATTTAAAAGGTACATCAATTCTCCTTTCAAACACAGCGTTGTTAAGATAAAATATTTCAATATTTCAGTCAATATCACAATAAAGAAATACCAGTTCTATTTAAATGTCTGACCAAGTCTTTATCTACTGTTATCAACATAACACTTTCTCCTGTAGGAAAGATTAACTCTTTATTGTATTGGGTTTAACCATGTAAGTACTTCTGACCATCTTATCATATTTTAAAATGAAATTTCACACATTGTCGTAAATTAAAATATGGCCTGATGGCCACACAATATTAGAGAAAGGACAACTCACTAAGCTCACAAGTTTTATACCGATTCTTTTATAAAGATGTCTAAAATTGGTAACGTTTTAGCTTTAGTTATTTTCATATCGAATGCCATAAACAATGGATTTTCGTTGCCGGATGAAATTTATGGTGCAAGTGTTCACTGGAGACCCACTGGAGCAAATTCTGTATGCTATATTATGAAAATATATAATTTATTCGAAATGGATATTTAAGTCAAATGTCCGTTATTAAAATTAAAGATACGCCAAGAGATTATTTATTCAAAAAAATAAAATAAAATAAAAAGCAAATAGTGAGGAACTATTTTTCTTTAACAAAAATAAAAAAGAAATGTAGACATGTATGTTATTTATTGGAGTAAATTCGTTTTTATTTTCTCAATATATTTGAATGATATCCACGTTTCTTTTCCATTGCAATTAAATTCTGTATTGGTGAAAGATTTTCCTACATTTTTCAGTCTTAAATTTTCGTTCTTGTATTGCAAAGATTTCGGTTTTTATTAACAGATTGCTTTGTCTTATCGCTTGGTCTGGAAAAGAACGCTGTGTGGTGCACCGGGAAACTGGAACGGGGATACGTGCTACAAAAACACTTTTCTGACTGGTACCAAGTCTGCTGTTAGCGTCCGAAGCTATTTCAACGGGTACAAGTGGAGATTTAGGACCGGAAATGCGTCCGTTGACATTGACTTGTCAGATTTATATTTTACAGATATAGGAGTGTTACATGAAATTGCTTATGAGACTGGAGTTGGGATAACAACGGTTCTGTTTGATCCAAAAGAGGACACAGCAAACATATTGCTAAGGTACAAATGGAAGCTCTATTTCTTTATATTTGGTCCTGAAAGCGCAATGATCTCTATTTTATATTTGTCTTGATGGTTATTTTTATTTTATTAATCTTGACAAGTTTATTGATAACTTATTAACATAATTACATAATTGTCCACATATTGTATTTATATACATGTTAATATATTAAAACTATATTTTATATTCAAGTATTTTAAATTTTCTAATTTTGACATTTTAACTATATTTTTGATACTGTTAAAATCTTTGGAACTAAAGTTGGAAAAAAAATCGAAACCCAACAAAACAAATATAAAATAACAATAAATAAATTAAAAGTAATAATTATAAAAAAAATAATTAACTAAGAATACCCTGCCAAAACCAGCTAGCCTAAGACCGGATGTTCAAATAAGGTGCCCTGTTTATAAATCGCAAATAATGAATGTCTTTGGATCCTGTGATCTTCGTCTGTTGGTGAATTTTGACAGAAACATTATGACCATAGCCTTGTCGTTATGATTTATAAAATCCAACCCCATGTAATTTTATTTCTCTAGAAAAAAAGACATGGAAACATTAAGAATATAATTATGCATGTTTATTTTTTTATGTTTCAGAGTATTCAACATTTTGTTTACTTTTCAGTTTAATGGATTCAAGCAACGTTGCTTTAGGAGGACTTGGGAACGGTCATCTAAACATGGCAGTGAGAAATGACACAAAACGGGCAAATATAAGTCCACTTTTAAATGTCTTTCCTGTTTATCGGTAATCAGTCATTTGATAAGCTAAAAATAATGTCGGTTCAAAACTCTTCAATTCATGAAAATTGATATATCAAGTTATATTTCATGTAGTTGGTCATCTATTTTTTCTATAAATTATGATAAAATAACGGTAAAATTCAGACCGTATATGTCTACATCACAGATATATTATTTTTATTATACATAGATATATATTTCTTGTATTATACATAGATAAACATTTCTTAGTATTATACTAAATTCTATTTATTTATTTTGCATTGGTGTTTCTAATGTTATTTATAATGAATGCAGGTTTATAAGCACTGACAAGTATGATTCAATTAGATATTAAAAACAATCCGACGGTTTCTCTTAGAACTCACGTGAACTCTTTCCACACGTTTTTTTAATAATAACTTAGTTTTTTAGCATATTTTATTTAGACAGCGAGAGCCTGACTAGCTATATTTGTCTGTAGTAAGATATTTTGAGCCGCGTCATGACCAAACCAACATAATGGGTTTGCGACCAGCATGGATCCAGACCAGCCTGTGCATCCGCGCAGTCTGATCAGGATCCATGCTGTTCGCTTACAAACCCTATTACAAGTAGAGAAACTGATAGCGAACAGCATGGATCCTGATCAGACTGTGCGGAGGCGCAGGCTGGTCTGGATCCATGCTGGTCGCAAACCCATTATGTTGGTTTTCTCATGACGCGGCTCTTTTGTATTCGTTTTAGAATACCATTAGGATGTAGCTCTGTCTTTCGACTTTTCCCATTTGACGGGGATGGTGATTTTGTAAAATGCCACTGGGACAGCTTTCCTTTACGGAGTGATAAAGAAATTCACGCAGTTTTGAACGAGGTATGGTTAGTTATCTTTTAAACGTTATATCATGTTAATAGTTTCATCGTTTTCAGGGGCTGTTATCGCTCCGGCTAAAGGAGCTCGCTATCGTGCGTACAAATGTATTGTATTGATATTGGAGAGACATTTTTTGAACATTTTACGTCTCAGTCATGTACTTTGAAGTTTTTACATAAAATTATTGAACTAAATTGATCATGTTTTGTCTAGATGTTATTGTATTCTTTCTCATAAACAGCGAGTCTTGTTATTAAATAGAACGCAAAACCTGAATTAGTTCCCCCGTTACCTTTAATCTTAACGGTACAAACTGTGCCCTTCATCAGTGTTTTTCTTATATTTGAGCCGCCCACCAATAATTATAGGCGTTTCTGTCACGGGGACAGTACCTTAGTGTCTTTCAAGTTTTATGGTTGAAAATATGATCCATCTTGCAACTTTTTTCCGTAATAGTAAGTACAAGTGTATACCAGTGTTGGACCATTGACCTCATTGAATAAATGAGCTAAGATATATATCATAATGATTAAGCGGCTAATTATTATAGGATTTATGCGAGCTAACAGTGCAGGCGGTGGCACCGATATTTCAAGCAGGTGATACCCTCCATATATCTCTTTATGCCGAGGATTATTCAAGATTTCCAGTCAAGCTCACGGGAGATTCGAACGATATAACGACTGGTCCCTTCAGTCGTACTCCCTTAAAGGTAAAATGATTGAAGGCATATTTTTATGATAGCGATGAAGTTGCATGTAATAATTCAATTACAATAGTAACGATACGTATAAAATGATAACATATTTTATAGGGGCTTATCGAGTATGCTTCTATCTGTCAATGTTATTTCAGTTGTTTAAGTTAGGCGTTAGGCAGTAAAGCAAAAAAAGTCACACAATTAAATGGTGTTCTTTCTATTAACTGATATTATGTATAAATATTACGTAATTAAAAAATGTCAATAATCAAGGCTTACATTTTTAAATGATATATTTACACATTTTCAAGTTCTGCCCGAGACGGTGCCAGGGGCGTAGACTGTAGCTTGCAGCTTATACGACCGTCAACCAGAACGAGCATGCATCATTTCAATTTTTGTTCTGTTTTGGATGATCTTTTAAGTTAACCAATTAATTAACGCGACTAAATCAAAGAACATGATATTTTTATATTCTTAGCTTATAGTTTATATCGGAAATGCTTCGGTAAACTGCGACAAAAGTCCAACATTTACACGAAAAGGGACCTTGATACCATATTTCAAACGGTCTTACATCCTGCCATTTCAACACGCCCTGGTCAAGCTTCCATTTGAAACTAATACTGAGACTGACCGGTGAGTATCTCGCTCGGATTTCTATTCTATTCCCCTATTGATTATTGATCTAAAAAAGAAAATCATTTAATCGCCTCCGATTACCATATAGCGGAAAAATTACTACTCACTTTACTAGTTCAAACGATTGTGTTGTTACTTATATTCATTTTGATTGTAATATACTGGATTGGAAGCCATAAGGTTTTTGAAATTGAATAAGATAATTTTTTTTGTCTTGTTCATTATTTTAAAGTAGCACGCCTCCAGATTGTTGCTAATTTTCATATAAATTTTGAAAATGTATTTAAATGTGTAATATTGTGAAGTAACAAAAAGGAAGCAATTTATACATTATCAATGGCACTTATAAACCACGTAAATTACCAAAAAGTGGTAAGAAATGCATGAAAAGCCTTAACTGTGTTAGTAACGCAGTAGAAATATAGTTGTAAAAACTGAAAAATCACTCATTAATCGCACATAATATGTAAAGTATTATTTGAATCTTGAAAATTTTTACTTTTCCTTACATCTTAGTTCATTTTTCTGAAGTTTGATTTTATTGAAATATTTTGATCCATCTGGATGCATGTGGCTTTAAAAACAAAAGAAAGAGAGAGTTTTAGTAGAGTCATTTAGCAATTAAAAGTGTATAAAGCTACAATGTATATACAATTTTTCGGTTTTATAAAACATTTCATTACATATAACTTTCATTCTTTTTAATTTGATTCTGGCTCATAACAATTTATTTATGATCATTTTCTAGAATATTGACGACTGGTCCCAGGTACATGACATTTGAACAACGTCAGAATGGATCACAGATAGAGGAAGGTGTCTGGAACAATTTAATAGATCCATCAATGAAGGGAATCCATCAGGCTTGTGGCACCGCTTACACACATGATGGGTAATTATCACAAAACAACATGTACATAAACTCTTAATGTTTATTACTTCAAGAAGGATGTTGCCAATTATCTCGTTTTTTAAATTGTGCCCTTTTTTTCTGAAAATAAGTTTCATCATAAAAATGTTGAAAACATTGAGTACCTACGCGGTGCTAAAGGTGTTAAGGGATATTGCAATTTCTATGTCAGGAATCAGTCAAATCAGGACAAAATTTTTGTTATTGATTACTCCTTTCTCCAATGGTTAACAATGGTAGTAAGAGTTTTAATGCCTTAGAACAATTGTATCAGAAAAACAAAATCGTGAATATTCTTGTCATTTATATTCTTATAAAAAAATTCTTAAATTCCGTAAAGACATTCTGCAGCTTCGTTATATTCGGTCACACATGAATCATTCTACATTATATATTTAAGATAAATTTTAGAGATCACAACAGAGTTACATTGATACTTCATTATTTGTTTTTTTTGCATTACAACTTTCATTAACTCCGTTGTAATTTATTTTTCTTTAAAAAAAGGATACCCGGAGAGAGTAGATGTGCCGTTTTAATGGTGAATGGTAAGAAACCAAACTTTATTTTCTTGAATCCATTTGAGAGAACGGGTATGAAAGTTTTTTTCTTTTGGTTTTTTGTTTTATCGATTTATTGCAGGTTGGTCTGAAATTGCGTTTTTACAAGTAGAAAATGGACAGGGGACAGGTTACACGGTCGTGTCTGACCTAGCGAAAATACGACAATCTATCTGAAATATCGGTTTGTTGTTCAAAAACGGTTTAGGTGGGGGAAATAATGTTATTGTCAACGTTTAGTGATGTCATTTAGCTGCAATTTGATATACAGCTTTATATAATTTTCCTAAAAATGACTTTGCAATATTGACTTATACTGGACTAGTGGCATTCGGCCGATTTGGCGAGTTCAACCTCTTGTCTATACATGTATATTATATATACAGTAATTTTTTTTCTAGAATTACTTTTTTACACTATCCCAACACTGTGCTGGGTCCCTGTGGTCCGAATCCGCTTTGGGCTCCTTTTTTCAAGAATTTACTAAGTAGTATAATTCTAGATTACATACTACCTCTAACACTGATTTTCATATATTTAGATCTAGTCATTCTTATAATTATACTCTCTTGTACTGTAACATTTACGCATTATTTATTATGTAATAGATTCCTAACTATGTATATTATATAAAGTTCACCATATATAATCTCATGATTCAAGTTGTCCTCTGAGATATTGCATGCTGCTCATCATTGTGACTTTGTATGTTTTATTTATATACTATTTTTGTTCCTGTATTTGTATATATGCAAACTGAGCTGATATCAATTAACGAAACGAGATTACTTTGCGACAGCAGAACATAATAAAGTTCACATTTACATAATATGTTTGTGAAGTGATCAACAGTGCAATTGTTGAACATGAGGTACACGATATGACATTTTGTTTTTCTTCAAACATTTGAAACGTACCAGATATTATATTTTATAGGTTTTTAAAAATCAAATTTTTATTAAAATCAAACAGTTATTTACAAGACAAACATTTTTGGCATTATATTTGATATTGTTAATTGTTAATATACTCAGTGTGCATTTTGGTTACTTGTAAACTTTGTTTGCATGCATGAACATGTGAAAAATTTGGTTTGAACATTTGCAAAAATATATTCAACATGCAATGGTTTAATTTGAATTGAAATTTGATATATCACAACTTTGGTTTCTTATACAAAGCGGAAGGGAAAAAGTAAAGGTTTAAGAATTTGATTTTTAACTCTTTGTCTCGTTACGTGATCATTAATCAGTATCCGTTCGGTTAATCAACGAAAATGTCCGAGACCACGTGGACCTGACGTAACGCCATATGGGCTTAGGTTTGAATGATGTTACATTAAAAAATTCAAGTATTCAAACGAAGAAGGATATACAAAGGGCACAATTTTGCAATATCTATTTGTCGTCCCTTAGATGTTTACAAGTAACCAAAGTTCTGCTATTATTCAAATTTCAAGCAAAAGTCAACCATCGTGTAGTCAGTACATTTCTGCAAATTTTGATACCAAATATGCCAATATTTTGATTAAATAAGTATATAAAATTTCCCTGTAACCAAGTGCACGCTTTGTTTGCAAATCATTTTATGTGTATTTGTAAAAATGTACCTTAAATTATATTCTGTTCTATTGATAATCATGGTGAAAACAATGTTTAAAACAGATTTGGATGAATGCAAATCAAACCCGTGTAACCGCGCCCCGGGCGGTATTTGTGACAACTTGTTCGAATACTACACTTGCACATACCCAGGCGATCTGACATATGATGGCAGCAAATGGACTGCTCCCTGTAAACCAGGTAATTTTATTTAACATGACATTATTATCATCATCATCATCATTATCATTTTTGTTTCTGTTATCATTTTATTTGATGGTAAATCTTTGCGCTCAGAGCTCTTTATAAACACAAAACAATCTAATTGATGTTTCTATTTTAACATACGGGAGGTCACTGATTAAATGAATGAATAAATGAATGAATGAATGAATGAATGAATGAATGAATTAATTTATTCATTTATTTCTTTATTAATAAATTAATAATAAATTTTGTTTATCATTTCTTTTCAGAGAGAATTGTAGAAAAGGCAGACGACAATCTAGGGGTCAAGGTTGGCTTGCCTGTTGGGCTTTCTTTACTTCTGCTTTTAATTGTCGTAGGAGTAACGATGTATCTGAAAAGATACTGGACGGAGAAACTAAAGAATTCCGTGGTAGAACCAGATACTCCGGTCTGTACGTTGGACAAAAATCAAACAGAAAAAGATGTCGCTTAGACTAAAAGACCCGGTATTGACAATATGTACAGCGATTAATTTTAACATATTCAATGGATGAAATAAACTCTCCATACGACATAAAGCTTTATTGTTTTCTTGCTTAGGTAAATAGATAGCCAAACATAATTACAAGTAAAGATTTTGATGCTAAAGCATCAAGTCGCCGGATAGAAATATGATTGTATTATCAAAAATAAAAGAAAATATCAGTTTCATAGAGTGTATAAAGAAAAGAGGAACAATAAGTTGAGTAATGTTTATTCATAAACACGTTTTCATTTACTTGCCACAATTATATCTTTCTTGATGAGAGTTTTATGCAAAAAGTTTATCTTATGTTATAATAAAACATCATATTTGAATCAAACTTGCTTAGCAATTTTGTCAAGAAACTGTTATCATTATTAAATAAGCAAGTATTGTTTGGCAATATTTACCCGAGACTCAATAATTTTCGGAAGCTGTTTCGTTTGTTTACATAACTTATTATGATTAATGTAAACGATTTTATTATAAGTATAATTACATATATAATTATATCAATTAATACTGCTCGATGGCCTAGTGGTAAGTATCACGAAGTTGTAACCTACATGTAGTAGGCGCAAGTTCGAATCTCGGACAAATCCTGTGTGTAGTTTTCATAAATTGATTTTTATTATATCTTTTAACTTTATGAAACATAATAAGCATATAAGTTGATAAATCGTTTGTTTCATTTCTAGCACTTTTTTATTTCATAATTTTGATAAACGGTCAAGTTTTGCAAAATACAAAAAGTATTATAAAAGAAAACATAAAAAAATCACTTTATCGAACCTACAGTCTTCAATTTGAAACTAACTTAAAATCTAACACCTTGTCATCGAGGCTTGTAAAGCAATTGATATGATTATAATTCTACTTGTAATTCTACTTTATACATATACCGTTGTACGTATGGTTTTCTTCAGCATCCGATAATTACCGACAAATTATATCCGATCATCGAATATTTGCAAAGTGGCTATGAAAATATATATGCTTAATTATTGCATAAAACAATGCAATTCTACTGTAAAAGTGGTGTCTGCATCTTATGCAATATCGAAAAAATATATTATTTAGCTGAAATCAATATTCCTGTCGGTATTGTTTGGTTTTATTAACCTGTCAATTACATACTGATTACACGGTCGATGCACACAGTATATTAATCTTCGGTAGATGTTCGGTAAGTTCCGTGAGATTTACGCTGTACGATGGAATTTAATTTAATTTGTATCTCTAAAATAAGTGTACTCAGCGTTATAGCGCAATGGGGTAAATCACGAGTTTATAATGTAAGTGCACAAACGTGTTTTAAGTTCGAGGCCGCGTTGGTCCATGTTTTTTTCTTATTAATACTTTAACATTATTGAATCTATAATTATATGATTAATATAATATTATGTTGTTCGTTTTTTTATGTTTTACTTAATTTTGTTATGTATATACTCTTTTTAAATAACATGTTTTTAAGAATTCATATTTAAAATTAAAACGGATTAAAATCAATAAATGTCTTTTCAATGCCGTAAAACACACTACAAATCTGTTCCATTAAAATACACTGCAAAAATAAAGAAAGAGTACTAAAACAATGGCAACAGTGAGGATCGAACCACAGACCTCTCATTTATCAGGCATTCTCTTTACCGACTGTCCTATTGTGAATTAACGAAAACCTTCACATAAAGTTGGCGTGACTTTCAATCGATGACTTATATACTCCACATTAATTCTCGTAAACTACAAGGACCAAACCGAAGTGGGATCGATTATTTAAATGAGTCCTATAATGTATTTATAATTGACAGGTTAATAAAATCAGACTATACGAGTACATACGATAAAGTTAATTTAATTGCCTTTCAGTGCGATAAACTATCAACAAAAAGTAGGTTTATTAGTTTTCTCTGTGTATCCAATACGATTCCGACCCCTACTGTCATACCGAGATTTTTCATACAAAATTACTTTGATTTGCACTTTATCAGCTTTATCATTCACATGTTACCTGTATGTCTATCTTGCCAGCCATTTGTTACTATTAATAGATTTCATAACAATAACATACAACGTGTAGTCACGTGATTCTGGGAGAAACTGTTTATAATAAATAAGATAAAAAATAGAATAGGTCTCATAAGATACAAACAACCAGATAATTTAAAAGTGTCATTTCAAATATCATGCATGATTTATTTATCATAAAATAGCAACGCTTGACACTTTAAAAAAAGTAAAAGCATCCCTAAATTCAATGACTGGTCCATAGGGATACGTCATTAATTCATTTTATAAATATTGTAATGTTGCTTTTTACGATGTCCGTATTTGAATATTTCATTTCATTTAGCAACATTATTGTATGTTTGAATTTTTGAGATTACTGAAAACAATAGAAGTCTTTAATTGTTCAGTAATTGTTATGCTTTTATTTACAGAAATTAATGCCTTCTCCTACCATAGGTATAATATTAAACTGTTACAAATATAGTCGCCGGTTTCTACCGGCGACTAATAAAAAAAGAAAATCTTACTTTAAAATGATTGAAGTATTTTGAAGTCGTACCAAATAAGATATGCTTGTCATTTCAAGAAAAATGACAAGCTTAATCAATGAAATTAAGAAAAAGAATTAATCGGCACCGACATTGATTTTTATTCAATAACAAATACTTCTTATTTGAAGGCTCGTATTTAAGTCATTTTTCTATGTGCGAATTTTTCCATTTATATTATCATTCTAATTAATATATGATAGCTTAGTAAGTCCAAACATATATGTACAATGTTTATTCTGTTTTTGAAATCGTTGGAGCACATGTTAAACATTTTTGAAATATATATACTACAGTTAATTTTCTTAATTCATGTATATCGATTTTCCTTAGCATCACTAAGTATCCCGTTTTTTATGTTTTTAAGTTTGCCGTTCTGCAATAAAATATAATTACAAAAATTAAGAGGCATCAAATCGTAAATTTGCATACGTAAGGGAACACCATAATATTAAGCATTTTTGTGCTTATACAATTCCTTATCAGCAAAGATATTTCATGGTGATTTTTGTGTGTAATTTATTGCTTTACCTTTCCTTGACTTTAACACGCCTAGTTAACAATAGAGCTACCTCTTTCTGAGCTATACGATAAATTTCTCCGAGTAAGAGCTCGTTGCCGCATTAAGGTGTCAGAAAAGGTATAGTCTTGTCTCAATATATTTCAACTCTACATCGAATATCGAAAATCGAAGAATGCTATAACCATGTAGACTTGATTAAAGTTAAATGTAATGTAAAGTTGATGACTTTATGTTGAAACTGTAGTTGTGGCGGCGTATCTCATTTAACGCATTCTGAGTTGAATCGTACCCGTATATCATGAACGAATTGCTATTACCACATATTTTTATTATACATGTATTTACACCAACCCAATGTAATTTATGCAGGAAAAGCTAATAGCAGGTGGTGCCAAAAGGCTGTGTATACCGTTATCGATTACACAACGATTCTGTTAATGAATTTTACTAACGACTGATTAGCGATAATGTAACGATGCTTTCTGGTTATGCAACAAAAACAATCGTAGAAATAACTAACGTGTTCGTTATGCGATCGCTCACGCTTTCGTTAGCGTGATTTTAACGACAGCTTCTGGTTACTCACCACTGATCTAAAAACAACAAAGTCGCTAAATGGGAAAAGCCGCCACAACTTCAATTTTAGAGTAATTCGTCAACTGTACGTTTCCTGCAAACTTTAATCTGGAAACTTTTATTAAGACTACCGTCTCATTACAAAACCAACATAATGCGTTTGCGACCAGCATGGATCCAAACCAGCCTGCGCATCCGCGCAGTCTGATCAGGATCCATGCTGTTCGCTATCAGTTTCTCTACTTGTAATAGGGTTGATAAGCGAACAGCATGGATCCTGACCAGACTGCGCGGATGCGCAGGCTGGTCTGGATCCATGCTGGTCGCAAACCCACTATGTTGGTTTTGTCGTGACACGGCTCATTTGATATTAAATACTAGTATTTGATGCAAAGCTTACTAAAACAACATTATAACTTGGCTGACACTTATTCTCGGCGACACGTACTTACTTGGAACCAAGCTTCCATAAGAGATTTAGCGTACTGTATACCTCAGAAAGACAGAGTGTTGTTGTTTACCAAGCGTGTTAAAATGATTAAAAGAGTCTATATTTTTATCCTTTGTTAACATTTGTTTTATTATAAAGGATTGTTCCCTCCGATAATATACATTCGTAAATTTGCATGTTTCGTTTGTTACTTTTTTTTCCTCTTTACCTTACTTTGACCTCAAAGAATTGTTCTTTCTGAGAAGAAATATACATGTACTAGTACTAATTTGCTTGGTTGTTTTGTTAACATTTCTTTGACTTTAAAATATTGTTCTCTGAGGAGGTATATACTATCTATTTTGGTTTAAGCAATAGTTTTTTTCTTCATCCATATAATCAAAACGAAACTACGATACATAAATTATAATCAAGATTGACTACAATGTCTGAAGCATATAAGAAACTGTCCTGTAAAACATTCCAACAACTCATTTTAATAACAGCATAATTACAAAGTTAATTGAACCTGCATTTAAATCTTACATATACTAGATCAGATTGAGTTCAAACATGATCTTATAGGTTTATGTTTTACGAACTTTGGTTGAAACCAGTTTTGAAAATAAAGCAATTTTGGGCTCTTTTCAGGGACAATAACCTCATCATTATCATAATATCCTCATCATTATAATTGAATCATGCCCTTTGGGTGATACATGTTCTGTCAAAAAAAAGTATCACCATGTTCTGTCAAAAAAACAAACATCAAACCCCCCCCCCCCCAAAAAAAAAACAACAAAATAAAACCCTGCTAACGTGCGGCAAAGTAATCGTTGACAAGTAAACAAGAGCCGGAAGTAGGTCAATGTACGGAGGTCAATGAAAACCTAAATTTACAGTAACCTAAGACAAAAATATAGGAGGTAGCCCTTAAAAGGTCTGTTGGGGCGTACGCACCCTAGTACACCATCCTCGTGGACTCTGCCTTCTTTGTATCGCAACTCCCCTCGGCTTTAGTCAGGACATCGGCAGTACATGCAAGCTAAGTCGTGCCGCTTTTACGTAACATTGGTTATTCAATTAACAGCCGACGCCCTGTGTCTTTTAACGACGTACACAAATGAAGGGAAGAGAGAAGCATACCAGTTTATAGTTTATATTGTTTATTGTCTCATTTTTACATGTCACATTACATTATACATATTAAAAAAATACATAGCATTTACATGTAAAAACCAATCTAAACAGATTTATTGAGACACTTTTCATTGCTTTAAACATGCTTTAAAATACAATCATATAGTTCATAAGAAAAGAAATATTTCACTCTTTCTTTTGGATAACAGGTTAAGCACACACTTTTCACTTCTTTAACTAACATAGTTCTGTTCTGTTTAAGTAACATATAGACCTGATGACAGTACAACATTTTAAATATTTGATACAAATTTTGACCACTGAATTTTCCAATGGCATTACATAAGTCTGTTGTTATCAATTAATACCAACAATGTCAGTTAACTCAAAATGTTTCAGAAAGAAAGGGCTTCATATACTATTTGTATCATAGTACGGGGACCTTTCTGTTGAAAATGTGTCAGAGTTAAATAGATTTTATATACATGCACAGTGCGTTAATTGGAGTGCAGGTATTAGTTACCGGCACTCCAGAGCATGTCGATTGATTGGCTCATTTTTGCTGGGGACGGCAGAAAAAGGGAAAGCGATAGAAAAATCATATTCAGATGCTCGTTGATTGGTTACTTTTCTCGGGGATTCATATTTGTGAGAACAGGGAACGTGTTTTTATATTTGACTATGATACAAAAGAGAAAAAACATCAAAACACTCGGCAATCTGATTAATACTCGGGGGCTATGCCCCTTCGTACAAATCAGATAACCTCGTGTTTCGATGCTCTTTCTATCACTTAATTTAGCAATGTCTGTATTTACATAGTTAAAGATAAAAAAACAACATTTCTAATCTTTTCTTTAAAAACAGCCATATTGCTTAAGTGTGCATTATAAGAAACATTATAAAAATCATATATCATCCCTGATCATATCAGGCCCGACTGATTAGCATTGATGTTGTACACATGTTAAAAGATACATGTCTTTAAATCTACACTACTTATTTTACACTTTAAGAAGTTCACAAGTTTATTCTAAAATAAATATTCAAACCATGATCAACATGTGTATATTTATGATTATTAAACAAAAAGAAGTATACTTCTGAAACACTAATATAAGATTTCTACTTCCCATGTTGGACTTATATATAGTCCATAAATTATCTAATGTAGATCTAAGCAAAGGTATTGATCAGTTTTTATATTTCCTATTCTTACATCTTCTTTGTTGTATATACACAAATTTGGTTCCCATATAAAATATAATGCAATATATTTTGAGCTGAATTTATCTGTTTACCATGCTCTAAATTTAAGTATTTTTAATATTTACACAGGTTTATCTATATAGAAAGTCGGTTCTGTCTTGCAATATCATATGACATGATTTACTACTGGTTATTAACATGTATTCATTAGACAATACATAGTTAAGCTTATCTTGATTAGATAAATACTTAAAATTTAAAATTGCTATTGAAATTGCAGGCTTTATTTCATAAATCATTTCAAAAATTTTCATACAAAGGACACTAAAATAAGGCATGTATTTCATTTTCAACGCCATTATTACAAATAAGACATGCATGTTGCTCTTCTGGTAAATTTTCATATCTTACAGTTTCTAAACGGATCCACATCTAAACTTAGCTATTGCTGTTTTTGTGTTTTCTTGGTATGAATTTACATGCAGCATAATTTTCTAGTCCATAATTGTTTTTTACGAAAGTTATGTGCCTCTACCGGAGGGCCTGTTACATTTCTTATACTTGTATCCCATTCAGTAGTAAGAATATCCATTGAACCTGCTACAACCTTATTACAAAAGTCTCTTGAATGATGTAAGGCTGTACAATTGAGTGATACTTTTTTAAGCTCAACAAATGTAAGTGCTTCTTAAAAACATACTGCCAGTTTCTACATTTATTGGTTCCTTTAGAATCACAATATTGAAATACCTAAAAAATTGGTTCTACTACTATCCATTTTCTTAAGTCAATGTCAGTGCTGGGACACAGATCTCCATTGTTTCACATGCGGAGGTTGCCAACCAAACTCACCATATATAGCATTATTTTGAGTGTATCTACCCATTCCCAGGAATCTCATTGCTCTAGCTTGCACAGAATTAATAATAGAATAGGATTTATTCCCCCCAAAAAGTTGCCTCATAGGCAATAAATGGCCAAACTGTGATTTCATATAGTTTCATAAACACCTTGTATGGAAAGAATATGAGACTTAATTCTAGCAATGAGCAATCAAAGCGCGCTCTACCTGCACTTTGAGCTACTGACTTTGCCATAAGATTAAAATCAAGGAACTCGGTCAGCAATAAACACCAAGGTAAGTATAATTGGCAACAACTTTCAAATTATGGACCCCACGTGTGAAACTACTTAGTTATGGGTACAACTGGCCGGAACTGTCGCACCAATTATGCAGAATTTCTATCATACTTTGTCAGTCATTTTCATTCTCAGTTATGATTACAATGTCGTCTGCGTATAAAAGAATACATAATAATTCATTATCTATAGAAATACCTTTTCCACCTCTTCCATGACTTTTAAGATAAGACATTCATGTAAATACATAATTTTTTTATGGAACAAAGATTTGCATACATTTATTACACCAAGAAACAAACTTGTCTACCTTAATTTTATACAAGTTTGCTTATTTAAAAAGAAGCATGCGAGAGGTATTTTTGCTGCTGTGGAAGATTTATTTAATTCGAAAATATTTGGGGATATTATATGGCATAAAAGACAAAATGAATGGTTATAAATTACAATTATCTAACAAAATAGAATTTATTATATATATTGCAATGAAAGTTTGTTTTAAACTTCATCTTTTTTAATGATTTGAAAGATTTTATGCCGGAGAAATTGACTTTTTTGTCGGCGCAATAGAAGGATAGATGGAATAAACAGTATATACATGTACTGTTATATACTTTTATACTGTTATATATTGTTTATTGGAATAAACAGTATATAAATCTGCATGCCTCCAACCACAATATTAGAAGAAAATCAAACTTGAGGTAAAATGTGTGCCATTTGCGCCAAAAAATATCTGTTGCGTTATTAAGTCATACCGGTTCAATACACGGTTCACTCGGTCATATAATAGTGCATGGTGATATTCTAGCTATAATGTTCACTACTACTATTTGTCGGAACATGAAATAGTAAAACGTTATTCAGAAAACAATACGGTAATCGATTTATACAGTTTAAATGAATTAACGTAAATGATATTTTCCGATTTTTCTATGTACCGATTTGTTCACTTCGGTGTTAATTTTTCGTTTAAGTTAAATCGTATTTTGAAACGGGGCATGCGCAAAACAATTTTTTTGTAGACTGCTCCTAATGATTTTACGCTTTAAATGAGATTCAATCAATACAATCAATCCAATAATGACGCAAAGCAAGCCACATGCTTAAACTAATTTGTACAAGTGTACAAGAATCTAGATATATATGATCCCTCGGAAGCGTTAATCACAACAAATTTCATGAAAATTCCAGAGTCGGGTTTTGCGTTCATTGAACGCCGCCTTAAAGATCGTTCAGCACGACAAAGTCCCTAGAGAACGCCCAAACAGGCAATATTGAAAAAAATGTTGCAGGCTCGGTTTTACTGAGCCTTGTTAATGGACTTTTTTTACAATGTGCCATCGTTCCAGGGAACCATGACTCATGACAGTAATAAACATTTAAGACCCAGTGAATTCATTGTATATGACAGTAAGTCGAAATAGTCACTCGCTTTATTTAGTGAAACTTAAACAACACGCTCCCACCGCAGTGGATGGACCTTACATATTCATATTTTTCAAATCAGAATGGCGCTTGAGTAAGAAACAAAGTCCTTTCTCAAACAATGATTTTCTAACTTGTCTTTGCTTCACAATCAATCTCTTTTTTAAAGCGCCTTACATCATCTCTGTCTACATGAACACCCCGGGATACGAGTTATACACTGTTAAAAAAGCTACATCTTCATTAGTTAGGGGACGATTATGGCTAAACCGAGTGTGAAAGCCAGCATACTAACCATTGTCTTGATCTCTTAAAGTAGAGTTAGGTATTTAAACCTCATTAGCAGTCTTATGTATGCTTTCATTTTCTTCGTTAGCTGCTTCAAATTTCTCATGAATATGTATTTGCTGCTTCTGTTTTAAGCATGATCTACATATCCTAACAATGAAATGAAAATGACCCTTTATAAATGATTATTTCTTTTATTTACTCATGACCCTTAGTGATTTTCTGTTGATTTCTTGTAATAATTGAGTTTTCTTTTTTAAGTACTCAACATGGTTGTTTGGGTTATTTATTTAGTTATTATATTGTACATGTTTCTTCATATACAAGTAAGCAATTGGTGTAACTGAAAACTGGATTACACACAAAGTGGTGTATACCCTTTAGGAGCAAGGGACCTAGGCTGAAAGTTAGCAATTTTAAAATTCAGTGTGGCACAAAACAAATACAAATATTTCAAAAGCATTTACACAGATAACCAGTTACACAGTTTAATTAAATGATACAAGACATACATTTAATGATATAAGACATAATTATATTGAACAAAATAACAGTTTGCATGCATTGCTCATAAAAACAAAGTTTGACGGCAATGTGTATTTACTCCCAAAATCACACCTATAATATACTATTATGGGGCATCTTCATTAAGGTACATGATAGTCCAGAAATCGCCTGATATCTAAAAATATCACTAACCCACAGTGCAATCAATTGCGATTTCAAAAATACCAAATTAATTGTCAGTGACAAGTTTAGATTTTAATTTTTTTTAGAAAATTAATACTAAGTTTCTTACTTGTTTGACGCCAAGTGTCAGTGATCGGGTTTCAACCTAAGAGTCACAAATACATAAATATTGATAATTTTCTAAGCATAAACAAAAAACAATTTAACAGAGAAACATCAACAGTTTTCAGTACCTCCAAAACACCATGTCTGTGTTATTAATATATTTTACGGGCCATAGTTCGAATATGTCCTCTGCCCCAGTATTATAATTAAGCAGACGCAATGTTACTTTACATTACTTTACATGTTCAGATATTGGATTTCCGCTACAAATTTTGGAAATTAATTGGAAACTCAGAAGTAAAGATTATTTTACAAGATTTAGTTCGAGTTTAAAAACGACAATAGTTTCAATACTTTTGCGTCTACTTTCGTCTATAAGAGTTATCAGTCTACAAAACAAACAAGCCTCTGTCAAACATAGACTAAAGCTAGATGCATTATCTGTTTACCTCAATATGAACTGAGGATCAGGTTGTGTAATGGCTCTGTGGTTTTTTTCCCTTTTGTGTTTTTAGTGTGTGTCTTTTTTGCTTTGGAGCTTTATAATCTGACAATTAAAAATTAACGTCAAATATATATAATAATTAAACACAAGGAATGCAACGTCTCCTGTCAAACCAATACACATATCACCGGAATATATGATCTAACAAACAGGCAAGCATATTCGATAAAAGACATAAAAATGTACCTGATACAACCAATGATAATTTAAATCCAACGATTCTACATAAGTAATTCATCAATGTTTCCCCATTTCACCAGAATACTTCATTTGCTTATGTCACGAAATCTCAGCTTTGGTATGAATATTAGATATGTTTCCTTTTGTAATGATGATTTTCTACTATTGCATAAGTTTTCAGATGTATTGCAAATTATGCAGACCTAGGAATTTTGATATATGTGCATTTGTTATTAAATTTCAAAATAGATAAAACTCCGCAAACCCATAAGAGAACGTTACTCTTGTCTTCAGAGACATAGTGGTCAGATAACTCTATTGATTTTCCCCATTTCCGCATAGACGACCCAACGACTGACATATACCTTTTTGGAAAAATATGATATCCGTACAAATAACAATCTTAGATGTATATTTTATACAACAGAGTAATCATCTTTTGAATAAGTTTAAAGGAATGTTTCGGGACCATTTCTTATAAGAATATTTTAAGAACCCACCAGGCTACTTAATATATGTAATACGGTGTTCAAAATTATTTCACCTCTTAAAAGCTGCTTCCTTTTATTTCTTTTGAAAGATAAAGACATTTACATAATACTATGAGAAAAAGTAACCTTTCATAGACTGATAATGTGGCCATTCTGATATATTGCAATTTTATTAACTTGTCAATTGCATACTGATATACAGTCATTGAATAATGAATGCCTAGGTCACAAATAAAACGGCCTGCTGCCGATTTTAAAATTTACAACATCGGCGGCTTTGACGATTTTGCAAACGCCGGCTGATTTTAAATCTCATAACTTGCGTGGTCATGCATGAAACTGTCGCCGGGCGATTTTTTAGCGGATTGATGTTACAAAAAGCATTCATAGACCGGGCGGTCGCCGCCCGATGTCCTCACGGCGTCTGTGCGATTTATAAATGGATCGGATGGTCGCCGCATGGGCGCCGGGTGGTAAAGGCTTATCAGTCAGTGGTCAATATGCTAGCAAAGAAGGCAGTTGAGAGTGACAAGATGGAGGCCAAGAAGATAATGCAATAATTGTAGTTTGCCTTTTCCTTAATAATAATCCGCGTAGACGTTCAACGCGCGGCCGTACAGTTCATGTTAAATTCAAAAGAATTCACAGATACATTTAAGGCAAATACAAAAAACCGCCCGGTTTACCTTTAAAATCGGACGGTGTTTTTTGTTTCAGTTTCAGTTTTTATTAAACCAAGGCATATAATATGCAACTGGTTATAACAAACAAACAAACAGAAAAATAACAGTCAAAAATCACTAATATCACAATATAAAAATACAATTATGACTAGCTAAATAAACAAAAGGGAGATCATATTGTTCATTTCAAGTACTGAATTCAATACAACATGTATTTTATATTGTAACAAATGGGAACGGAGAATGAGAAGTATTAGTTATCTAAATTTTAGCATAATGTTTTTACAAAATAAAGATAATCTTAGTAGAACATTTTTATCACAACTATGTGTATCAAATACAATCGTCCGATCCAAAAACCGCCCGGCGACCGGGTTATCCCCCCAGATGACTTTTTCAACTCACTGACCCCAAAAATTATCGTCCGGACACCGTCATTTAGCTTTTAAGTAGTACTTAAAACTCGACGCCGCCCGCCAGATGAGGAAAATTTTCAGCCGCTGCCGTCCGATTGTCACGGTGGCTGGCAATCGCAACTACTCGGCCCTTTCCGTCAGTCTTCGGATAAGGACCTCGAACACAATAGTATGAATACACAGAACGGATGCGGTATTTCGGTCTAACCTACGCTAAGAAACTAAACATTTAACAAATAGTCATTTACTGCTGGGAGTTGTTGACAAGTTTATTTTTAATATATGTATTAACAGTACACCTACAATAAGTAAATTCATAGGTACAAAAGCAAACAATACATTATTTATATATTTAGCATAATGGTTGTAGAAACCGAAAGTACAAAAAACCAACCTGTTGACATTTAGTCGGATTTGTTTGAAATTGAACATCAGTGGGCATATTTAAATTGCAAATTGTTGTCAGACATATTTTCAAGCACAAGAGTTACCGGAACAGACATTAGATGTCAAATATATACATTCGTTTTACATTATCTGGTAGAACTACTTTCAATCCGTATTGTTTCCGAGGTTATTATAGATAATAGCCGAGGCAGTTCCGAATGGGTGGCTGGACGGACACCGGTCGATATTATGATTTTTTTTAGATATAGACGCCGCCCGGCGACCGTTTGTCATTTGTGATTGAGGTATAGATACTTAACATAGCTCAACAAGTTACAATAAAACCCAGAAATAAATGTCCACCGGTAAAGAAATAAATATTCAATTTGGCTTCAATTTTCGGTTACGTCATTACTTGTAGAAGCAAATTGGCAATAAAAAATTGTATAACGAAAATAATTTCTTATAGGGATACAGATAATTAAAGCCGCATTAATCGCATAAAATCACTCCTGATCACTCGTTTGCCTCTTTATTTCCTTACTGGTATATTTTAACACTAGTACAGAAGAAAATTAGTAATACCATCGTTCTAATAACTGTAACTTCATTATAAGGTCATTAGATCTGTGGTTTGTTCTTTAATTATAACAAATTATACTGAGTGAAATGAACAATTGTGATGTTTAGTTAGGTGGTAACAATCTTTATCAAACTATACTCGGTACTTGCTGAGAATCCTGAGAATTTAGATTTATACAATTTTATAACACTTTAAAAATATTACAACAAAAACACACAAAAAATCTTTATCGATAGCTGCACTCGAACCCGCTTCCTTAGAAATGCAAGGTTAATACCACTGTAATTAGATAGTTCATAAATATTTAAACAGTAGCAGGATTTTATCCAGTTTTAAGCACTTCATAGTCGTAATAACGTGTATGAAATTTGTGAACTTCAAATTTGTGCGGTACCATTACTACCCTTAGTGGCATCGTTAGGTGACAGGTAATTTTCCGCACCCGGAATTTGACTTAAAGATACGTTTCTAGAAGACCCAAAGGTGTCGACTGATGTCAGGGTACTATGTGGTCTCTTCCTACCATCGCTGTCTCTTGAAAGTTTGTCATGAGACAGATGTTCCCCTTGTCCGAGATGACGTCTCCTAATTAAACAATATACTGCAAGGTTCAAACAACCACCTATATTTGAGAACGTCGTCACAAGGTGAAATAACGCTTGAGGAACGTGTTCGTCATCTACTAGTGCCCATATGCCATATAATCCCATCGCCCACCATTGTATCAAGAATGCAGCTACAAACAAAGACATTGCTCGTGCAGCACGGTGTGAAGCGCGCATCGCCGCAGACATGCCACTCAATGACTTCTTTACAGCTTCTCCCTGGTCGTGAATTCGTTTCCACGTCAATATGTATAGTACTGTATTTGCCATTAGAACCAACAATAAAGGTACCGTTGTAAATAAGATGTTTGCAATCTTTCCTTTAATTCCGTCAAAATAGCAACTAGAAAAAGAATATATATATACATTAAATCTATTACACTGAATAATTGTTACTAATGATAAGTGACCTAATGGTAATTGATGTAGTATAATAAATATATATATGTATTTGTTATCAACTGTAAACAACATATTTTTTATCAATTCTCTTTTTATTAGCATGTACGAATGGAAATAGAATAAAAATGTTTTTTTTTGTATATAATGTACGGTTCATGGTTCAATTGCTTTATTACTCACGTGATTATATTCATACGCATTTGAACTCGAATCGTGTATTATTCTACATCAATGCACTCAAAAATATATCTATTTCCTAATCGAAAATAATCATACGGACAACGCTTATTATTGTCAATTCATTATGCTTTTGATTGATAAAAAATATGTTTAGGAAACTTAAATAACAACAATTTAAATGGAAATATGTACTACATTAAAACATGAAATAATACACGGATGGTGGGTAATCTAGGGTGACCTTCGGCTCAGATCAGTAAACCAACGACTCATGCAATTATTGTTCCGAAAGTAATACATTATCATTAAACATAGCATTTACTTATATATACCAATGAGGACATCATATAAATTAAAGTAATCAAGTTTAATGGTCAGATAAGTTATTCACTGCATGACCTATAATTTAAGCTATAAAGTTTGAATTGAAAGTACGTGCGAACAGTTGTAACTCGGAAAAGGATATTGTTTTATCAAGTTTGATATCGATGTTAATACAGAAGTATAAGTTTCCTGAACCTTTAACGAAGTTTAATAAGATAGGTGAATGGTAAAAACTTCAGTGTAAAATGAATATTATTTCATTTTTGTCATCCAGCATAGTAATCATATAATAATCTCATGGTATTCTAACTGGTAGTCAGCAGAATAATGTTTTATACATAATGTTGACATTATTGATACAAGTACAAACAGATCAAAGATCTATTTTATGGACCTTAATTATATCAGTTAGGATGATGATTACTCTAAAGGCAAATTTTGCCTCAGGAATCCATATATTTTTTAATTATTTAGAAATGCCAAACATGTGTTGTATAATTCTAAGAGCATGTTAGATGTTTAACAATTGAAGAAGTAGCGCTGAACTTGCAGTAATGTGTTGTAAAGATAGCAAAATGTAAGCAAAGTAGAATTTAACTTCCATACAAAATACTTATACACTTAAATCATAATAATATATAACAAAATCCGAAAAGTAAAAAAGTTTTGTTTTTTTTAAATTGTACCATTTTTGGGGCAAAATGAGCCTTTGAGCATATATTTTTCAGTTTTGAAGTTTTAATAAGTTCTGAAAACAACATAATATCTACAATAATGAAACATCAATATGTAACTAAAAATCTATACTTACAAAGTTCCATTAGGACCAAGCTGGCCAGCTATTGCAGCAATAGTCGCTCCAAGAAACGGAGCACCAAATGTCCATAGTAAAAGTCTCCAGTCACGTGATCCGAAGTTCAAGTTTTTGTCAAAATACATCAGCATAAATGCATTAATTGCCACTATGTTCACCATGAGGTTTTGTGCAGTTATAAACACTGCAAGATTGAATCCATAAAATTCGCAAAGTTCTTTCGGGTAAACATGGTTTCTGACGATGAGAATATGTAAATGATCTGTAAAATGTGACACATTAAACGCACCATCACATATTGCCAGATACACAATGAACCTGTCACTCTTCGACCATTTAGTGAAGAAGGTATGGTAAGATTGTCGTCTGAATGACAATATTATTGCAATGGACGCACATACAAAACTGCACGTTATGCACACAATTGCTGGTATGTGAATAAAATAAAATGTTTCATTTTCTAATCCATAAACTGGAAGATCATAACCACTTTGTGGAACTGTTTCTTTAACTTCTGACGCGTCCATTTCCGTCGTATTAGCCATATTATATGTTGAATCCAAAACACGCACACACATACACTTTTAGAGTTGTAATTTGCTATTTGCCTTTTTGTTCAGTAAAAATTAATTCAAATATAAATATGATAAATCATTTACTAATCATCATTTAATAGATAAAAATCAATTAATAGATAAATAGAGCAACATCTCGAAAGTAACACGATAAATCCATCATAACTTTCTCCAGGGTAACATATTTAAATCAGTTAAATTCAGCGTTGTGATATCTTTTTAACTGTTATTATCAGTTTTGTTTATTATAAATTCTTGCGTTGGCAATGTACCTTCGTCGATAAATTATATTTTGTGGAGTTTTTCCATCGCTCACTTCCTAGTTTTAATAAAGTGATAACAGTTTTAACACTTAAATCACTGACGTTTTTAATTGTTTATCGTAAACAAAATTTTACAGGAAGTAGCTTATCAAACTTTTATGGAGTTGAACCCCTCAAATTAATTTTTAGTTTTAATTGACTTTTCCGATTACGATGACCTAACAAGAAGACCGTTCAAATAAAACTTTACATTTTTTTCTTACATTAACTGCCATTCAATTTGAACTGTTCTGCATTGTTTTATAGACTTATCTTGTTCAGAACTTCACATTAGTAATTTAAGAAAAACTTGAACTAAATGTAGCAACCAACAGTATTGAATCTATTTAAATTACATGGATGTGCTGGTTAGTTGGCCTGGCCTGCTATGTAATCACCAACGCTCAACTATCATAATATATTAATATTTCGGACGACATTGCCAGAAATACAACGTACATTTGTACATTAAGGCTAAATTACAGGTACTGAAATTTGTGAAATTACGTTTTAATCAAGTATGAATTCAATAGTCATAAACAACATGCAGTTGTTTAATTCTGGCATTTATTTCGCACCTTATTAAATGTTATTAATGAAGAGACAGATAAAGAGTAAACCTTATCAATGAACTTGCGACGTTTACACCATGTGTCTCCCAATGTAACACATGATTGGATTCAATCTTGTCAATTTAGCCTTGTTTTCATTTTTCCTATTCTAAATATCCATATCAAATCAGTATACATGTAATTATATTATAATAATTATGTCCATCATGCCTCGTTTTCATTTAATGAGTCCAACAAAATCCACATCAATAACTATCGTACTTCATCTAGCCTCGTTTTCATTTTCATGGTATTTAGTCATGTCCAAGTCCAAGTCCAGTCCGGTCCGTCCGTCAGTCACTCAGTCAGTACGTTAGTAAGTGAATAAGAAAGTACTCAATAAGTATGTTACTTAAGTAAGTAAAGGCAATTCAAGTGGTCAGTTAGTGTGTTAGTTCAGTCTGAAAGAACTTTTTTTAAATGATCGTCTATCAAAATTGGTGGAATCTAACGGAGAAAGTCATCTTTAACTTATAGTGGAGAACACAGAAACGGAAGCTATCACTTTTTCGTGCATTTATTGATTAGAGACAAAATCATATTCGAAGTGTCATCTATAAAATTAAAAAAGGCTGCTGCAAGTGAGCAAGGATTTGATATTGGAAAAGGCAACAAAAAATATCAAGAATTTAAATACGCAGCACCACAAAGGAAAATATTTTATAGCGTGCAAGAAAGTGCTCCGGTACATGTAGTATCAAGACCAAAAGAATGTATGCCTAGCCGTTCGTCGGGAACTCGAGTAACCCCACATCGGTGAATCCATGTTGCTCTTTGGAAAATTTGGGAACATCAAGATATCATAGCCGCACAGTAACAATGTAAGAACAAGCATACTGACAAGCAGCGTTGTCCAGTGTAATAATTGCAAAAATAGAATCACTGGAATAAAGTGTGTAAAGCTAAAACAGTCAATGAGATTTCAGGTTTAAACTCCCCAGCAGTATTTATGCTGCTGACCGTTCCAAGGCGGCGCCCCTCTGTGTTCCTCAGATGTATGTCTTTGTTGTTTCATACTGTTTTGGTGACACTTTTGTGTCCCTTGTTGTTTTCTCGTCTACGGTAAGTATCTTCCCCTTTGCCCCTAGTTTTTATTTCTTTTATTTACCCCCCTTCCCCGGGTCTCCTTTCCCTTTCCCCTGTGCCTTTTCACTTTATGGGCCTATTATTCAATCATTTATTTGTTTTCTTTGAGTTCCTTATCAGTTACTAATTATTTCTTCTTATGTATGATTTTAGTGATTAACCTGCCCATGCTCTGCCTTGTGCCCTGTCCTGTTTTTGTTTGGGGTCCTCCTGGGCTCCTTGCCACTGGCTCTTGTTGCTGGATCGTGTGGGGGTTGCGTTCATTGAACGCCGCCTTTCCTTGTTGATCTTGTTTATCATATTTTGTGACGAATTGTACATTGTGTAGAAAATGTGGACGGTCTTGACAGTGTTATAGTGAAACACGGACAAATGTTCACTAAGGAGAGAGAAGGCTGTACAAATGAAACTTTACCGTGGCCTACAGGTACTTATTTTGCCTTTATCTACTTTTCAATGTATAAGAATCAATGCAACATTTGAAAAACCAACGCCTACAATGGCAACTCTTTGCATAGTTAGAATGCGAGTCGTACTTAGACTTTAAACAAAGAATGAGTCTAAAGGCATGTCTTACCAAAGTTTCCTTTTTGAGATCACGCTCAGGTTTTTGATGACATAGGGTTACTCTGCCGGAAATGCTACATACATCATGACACAAATGCTACACCAGTTGTTCTACGTCTCCGTATGATTCCATATGTTTTACAAAATAAAGTGAAACAGGAACTTGTACGAATGAAAAAATAGGGGTAATTGTTAAGATTTCAACATCCACTGAATGGTATAACAATTTAGGTGTTACCGAAAAAAAGCAATGGCGATATACCTCTTTGTTTAGACCTTCATTCTTATAATAGACGAATTAAACGTACACCTTTTGCTGATGCAATGCATTTCAATATTATCTAATGAGTCTTCAGTTGTTTTTTAGGGATTCTGTTTTTCTCTATTTAATATTTGACCGCCTTTAACTAATTAAGAGTATTCAGTTACCTGCGTTGTCCATATGCCTTTAACGTATCAGGTGAATAGTGTTTTTGAAGAGGAACTGATGGGTTTCGAAGGGGAAGTTACAATAGTTGATGATACTTTTGTTTGAGGTTCCACGATGGAACAGTATGACCGAAATTTAGTAGCTGTCCTTGAACGTGCTTTAAATAAAAGCATTCCTTTCAATTCCAGTAAGCTGGAATTAGGTCCCATCACAGAAGGTTTAAAGGTTTAAAATTGAAGCCATAAAGGATTTGAGAACACCCACATCAAAAAGTGAGCTACATGTGGTATTAGGCATGACTAATTATCTCGGACGGGAGAGTTACCGGTATTGCGTAAGGTGGAAAAATAGAGAAAAACCGAATCCCTAAAGAATTTTCAACACGACAAAATTAAAAATGTTGCAGATTTGGTTTGATTTAGCCTGTTCATGGACGGTACTGGAATGCAAAAAAGTTACCGTCCACGCCCCCCTAGCACCGGCTTAAACAAAATTCAACATTTAAACATGAAAATGGTAAAATTTTGAATTTAGAAACATCCGCAGATGTGTTCATGCGGCGGTCAACATGGAACCTTCAATGTGACACAGTAGTGCCATTCCATGAAAAGCGGCGTATGGTCCCCAAGTAAAAGAATGTGTTTGCTCTTAACGAGAAAACAATGGGCGGAACTAAATAAAATGGAATTTTGAAAGCATCAAAGTGATTCCTTTGGAAAAAAATGAAAAATGTCATTTGTAAGGACACAGCTTTGGATTATTAAGACCCCAACATACCCTAAACATTATAAGAAGATTCTCCTTGTTTGATTTTGGGGACAGTTACTCTGCAGGAAAAAACATCCCGTAGCTAAACTGAATCACAAAGAAATATGGGTCAAATGTCAAAAGAACTATTATCTTTTGTCTTTGCATTTACGAAATATCAATAATATTGCTATGACCATGATTTCATTGCAGCAAATGATCATTTCACTATACATTGTTTGCTGAAGAAAGTTATTCATACAATACCTGCAAAGTTACAGCTTTTAGTCCTGAAACTCCATACAGATTTGTCTGGAATACAGGCCATCGCATTAGAAGGAGCCATTAATCAGCGTAGCTCTTAAATCCTAAACTATTCGTTTTAAATTGCAGGGTGTGACTCGTTCTCACTTAATGAGTAATATCCTATGGTCATGTTTAGTTACTATTCTAGATATCCTATATGGGTCCATGAATAGGCTCAATCAAACCGAGCCTGCAACACTTTCCATTTTTCCGTGTTGGGTTTTCAATCTGGATTTTTATTTCCTCTAAAAAAATTCGAACGTAAAGAGTTCAACTGTAATTTCCCACATGAAAGATATCATGTCACATTTTGGCATATGTTAAAAAATAGTTATTGATGGCGGGTCCATGTTTTTCTAGTCAAGAATTTGAGGAGTTTACTAAGTCATAGGATTTTGTACATGTAAAATGTAGTTCATACCATAACCAAACAAATGGTTTGGTTTTGGCGATGGTCAAAGTTGTCAAACGTATACTAAGAATTGGATTTTTAGAATATCGTTTAATTCGTCTCGCTGATAAAGAAAATTTTAGTCCTGCGCGGTAAGTTCATTCAACACATTATTCTCAAATACTTAAATAGAAAATATGATGTATAAATATTACATTAAGTAATAGAAGTAATATGTAGCATGATGAGTTAATTAAACAGTATAATGAGTTTAGAATAATAAACGTAGTAAGAGCAAATATATTTATGTCGGTCTTAAACCCAACACAAAACTTTACCGTAATTAATTAATGCTCCGATAAACGCTGTTGGTAAACCTGCACTTTCCGTCCATGAACCGAGCCTAAAACATTTTGAATTTTGTGGTTTTGGACGTTCTTTTGGGATTCTTTATAGCTGATAATAAGATTAATAAGATTGTATGTAATACTGGTATGTTGAGACGACATTGTACTCATATCTGTGACTGAATTTGATTTGAAAATTAATGCCTAATGTGATGGGGAAATAAAATATATTAAATGCTATGTTAACCCGTCAAAGAGAAACATTTTTCATATCGGGCTGTATTGATAATTCAGTAGGTAGATCTTCATTTGATTTCACGTTTGACGAGAGCATAGTCTTAAATTGTTGGACAATATACCTACCTAGGTTTACTACTTGGCCAGTTTCAAGACTATGGTAAGACTGTTGGTTGTATAGCTCAGAGTGCAGGCATGGTTTTTAGGTTATTTATAAGTCAAATAAGTCATTGAAGCCCATGCCATACGATGTCTTTGTTAAGCTGTATTATTTCATGGTTAAGCCAATAATTGCATATGATTCTCAAATTTTGGATAACAAGTGCTCTTCCTGCATAAATGCAATATATAATAGGACAGTGCGTTTTAATGTTGAGGTAGCATGATATAGGTCTACAGCAGCTTTATGCGACAAGTCAGCTTGACACTAAAACAGTGGTGATTTAAATGTCAACATTTGGAATAGATTTTAAAAGATTAATGTAAATAGAGGATCTGTTCCTTTTGTTTAGGTAAAAGCAACACTAGATGTGGACATTGGGAATCTAGTTTTAATAATAACTTTTTTTTGGAAAAAGCTTGTAAAGTTATGCCAGAGTGTGTGAACTTATCTGATGATGATAAACTTATATTAATACTCCCCAACATTATACTCTTAGTTTATACGAATTAATTTTAGTTCAATTGTGGTAGAAAAAAAAAGAATTTTGAATTTCACACAAAAAACTAAACCGTTATAACTGTACTAAATGCCAAATGCGAAACATAAAATGATGACTCTGCTATGTAGTCATGTGACTAACCGGAATCTTTTTGGAAACTTTACTTTAACAGGGCACCAGTAATTTACTAATGTATGCTTTAAAATGGGCATTTAACTACCTCATGGTTTAATTTTCTAAGTCGTTAAAGATGGTACGCAAAGTGTTTATACTCGCATATTTATTTTACATCCTACATAAATATCGTCGTAGTATGCACACAATCCTTAAAAGACACGCGGTGTCAGATAGTGTCACATGACAAATTAAGTTCCTTAAGGCCTCAACAGACGGTAGGATTTTGAAGTACAACACCAATTAAAACTAAGACGTACAGACAAATCTTAATGTGTGAAGGGCCTCAACAGACGGTAGGATTTTGAAGTACAACACCAATTAAAACTAAGACGTACAGACAAATCTTAGGCCGTGTCTACACCTATTCAAGTTTCTTACATGTCACATTTAGATAAGCTAAATAAACGGCCCTGTCAACATTTTTTCAGGCACAATTTTTACTGAAATGTCTCATTAAGATAGCCCAGGATTTATACCTTTGTCTTTGCAAGACTATCATGTTTCTGTAAAATATGTGAAAAGAAGCGGGGAAAATGATGCAATTAGCTAAAACAGAATGGAGTAAATGCGTTCATTCTTTTTTAAAATTGAAAAAATGTGACAAAAATTTATTTTGTTTGATGAAACTTATTCACTAAATGAACAAGATCATTTTAAATCCATTTTGACTCTACTTGAAAAAGAGCTTTTGTTTATTTTTTTACAATGTATTTATTTTTATTTTATTTTTTTTTTGCTCTTCTGTGTATCAGCGTATTGATTTGTTCCTTTGACCAAGACATTGTAATCATTAACTGAAATTCAAAGGACATGTACACTTAATCACAACAAAAAGTCAGAAAATAATAAAAAAAAAACAACACTATCACACCTTCGGGGCACATGTTTTGTGTCAAACCGGTGTTATCAGTGTCTTGACAGCCAAAAACTTGTAGAAAAATAGAACGTGTTCTAACTTTCTTGCAAGGAATTATCTTCTTGGATGTCACATAATTTCTCTTTAAAACTCATTCAAGTAGGGTGTCTACACTATCCAATACAAGAGAATATGATACTTGCATTCAAGACTTGGATAGGTGTAGACGGGCACTTAATGTGTGAAGGCTACTATTTCTTGAATTCAGAAACCTTAGGCCGTGTCTACATCTATCCAAGTTTCTTAAATGTCACATTTAGATAAGCTAAATAAATGGCCCTTTCAATATATTTTCAGGCTCGTTTTACACTGAAATGTCTAATTAAGATTGCCCAGAATTTATACCTATTTTTATTAAGACTATCAAGTTTCTATAAAATGTGTGAATACAAAAAAAGCGGGAAAATGATGCAATTAGCCAAAAACAATGGATTTCATGAAATGTGTAAATTCTTATAAAATAAATGGAAAGTGTGAGAAAAAATATATTTTGAGTTTACTAATTGATAAAAATTCTTTAATTGATGAAAGTTATTCACTAGCTGAACAAGATCATTTGAAATCCCTATTGATTCTACTTTTGGAAAACAGATCTTTTTTTTTGTTCTTCTGTGTTGAAGGATATTATAATCAGAATATTTGAAGAGGAAGATATAGACATTGTTTTACCATTTTATTTACTGGATTTTTTGAGGTTACTGATAGACAGGGTAAAAGTGTATTTCTATGAAAACAAATTGCTTAATGTAAATGTTGAAGTACCTTTGGAATATTATCATATGGTAACTGCACATTATGAGATTACAAACAGGTCTGATGATATTCCTACTCTAACATCACTTAGTCCAGCTAGTCCAGCATCAGATGCAACAATTACAGATATGTTTGATAAGCAGTAAAAAGGAATGTTGTTATCAATTTATTTTCAATAATGCCAAGTATTGAAGAATTAACAACAGTTGCAGTTTTGAACATACTAGCATTAGTTATAGCAAGCCGGAGACGGCGCCGTTCTTATCGAAGGTCACTATGGGTAAAGCCCTGGCTATTGAGGAGAAACAAATTTAGTGTTCATTCAACATTAATGAAAGAACTTCAGAATGAAGACCCCCTTTCGTATAAAAATTTCCTGCGAATGAGCACAGACATGTTCGAGGAGTTAAGGGATAAAATTTCACCCATAATTTCTAAACGTGATACACACTTCAGACGATCAATATCAATAGAGGAAAGACTATCATTAACCTTGAGATTCCTTGCTACTGGTAAGTACTATACTATATCAGTATAATTATGATGATTATTTTAGATGACTATAATATACATGAATATACAAATTTGCCTTCACATTTAATACTAAAATACTACTCATTTTAATTATTGATTTATTTTAAATACATGCATACATGTAGTTATACAAAATACATTTATATAATATATAATACATGTTCATAAACATTTTGCCTTTTCTCTTTATTGATTAATGTTAATATTTTGTTTTAGGAGAATCATTTCATAGTCTTCGATATCAGAACAGGATATCTGTTTCCTCTATCAGCAAAATTGTTCCAGAGGTTTGTGATGCTATCTACAACGTACTTAGGGATGACTATATTAAGGTAAATACAAAAAAATATACACATTAACAAATATATATTGTTTTCATTTAAATCAAATATTTTTTATTTTTATCTGTTGAACTACAACATAGTAGAACCAGAGTGTCCTTTTTTTGCAAAGATAAACAGGTCATCCTTATTGGTCTTGACTAACAGACTCGTGCAAGAACGGAGATTGTGACCTGGACTGTAGATCAGCCTGGCTTGTACTACATGTAGGATGTTTGTAAAACGGATGCAGTGGTCTTATTGGTGTCAAGGCCTCGGTTAGTGGGCTTGGTGACGAAGGCTGTGATCTTGAGTGATATCTCAGAAATCCGGATCTGTATTGAGATACAGGTGTTTGCATGGTATTTAGTGGTGGAACTTGAAATGTAGACTGTGTTTGATTTTCTGCGCGTATCAGCTCATGTACAACATTCATCAGTGTAATATGTGCACTCCTCGCAGTGTCTGCATTTTTCAGTAACCTTAACTGATCAGCTAGATATCTTCCAACCAAATCATGCTCATCTCCCCGAGAGGTTTGGCTTTCTCTCAGTGCTTTTAGACTTTCACTTGCCTCTTTAAGAACGATATCCTCTTGTTCCCTTATTGACCTTTTCTTACCGGTTGAAGTGCCAGCAATTGTTCCAGCCATCTGGCCAGTTTGATCATCATCTTCTGTCAGTTTTTCATTCTGAAAAGGTAGATAATAGTTTCGATTATAAATAATTCACACATTTTTATTTATTTTCAGACACCTGAAACAGAGGAGGAATGGAGGAATATTGCATCGGAATTTGAACAAAAGTGGCAATTTCCTCATTGTATAGGAGCACTAGATGGCAAACATATTACAATTAATCCACCAGCTAATACTGGATCTTACTTTTTTAACTACAAGCACACATTTAGTATTGTGCTCCTAGCACTTGTTGATGCAAATTATAGATTTAGATTTGTTGATGTAGGGTGTAATGGGCGGGTGTCGGATGGAGGAGTGTTTAGAAATTCTAAACTATATGACTGCCTAGAAAATGACAAACTGAACATTCCAAAATTGGAACCTATCACAGGAACACAGTATTCCAGTAACTATGTCATTGTTGCGGATGAAGCATTCCCTCTAAAGCCTTACTTACTTAAACCTTACAGTGGAAGGGACTTGAACAACCCCAGGAGGGTATTCAACTATCGATTATCAAGAGCAAGAAGGGTAGTTGAAAGTGCCTTTGGTATTCTAGCAAGTCGGTTTAGAATTTTCTATTCTCCAATATCTCTGAACGTGGAATCTACAGAAAAAGTTGTACTTGCTGCTATAGCATTACATAACTGGTTTAGAGAAAGTGGCACACATGAAGAAAGATATCAGATGGACGAGTCTAATGATGGAATACCAGAAGAGCCCCAAGCATTCGATTCTATCGGTCAGCAAACTGGCAATAGAAGCTCCAATATTGCACAAGAACAGAGAGAACAGTTATGTAACTTTTTCAACACAGACGGTCAAGTACATTGGCAATGGAAAAAGGCCTTAGGAAAAGACTACGTACCGATAAATTAGAAAGTGATCGTCGTGGAGTTATGTGATCTGCAAGGAAGTGAAGCCTGTTGTAGAATGACCATTTTGGGGTGTACACATTGTTCGTCCCTGCTCCACTTTTTGCTGAGGATAGCACTTTCTGATGCTCAGCACTGTACTGTGTTCGAAGGCTGGTAATTTTCTTCTTCACTTCCTCAGCTGTAAAACATAACATTATCTTTTGTGTGAACACAAATCAGTGCGAAGCTGAATGAATGAATGTCTACAGTAACTGTACTTTATTTCTAGCTTATATATAATAAGTAATGTATCAATATGTTTCAGTTTTTTGCAGTGTATTTTACATAACTATATACAATACAATAAACTGCATTTACTCTTACATGCATGCCAAATACCATAAGATAGAAATAAAAAATAAATATTATTTACCTGAAATTTCTAAAACAGTTGCAATGTCATTTATTCCAATTTCCCGCTTTTGTTTGTTGTGATAATCTTTCAAACTGTTATTATATAGAAATGGCCTTTCCTGATATAAATCAATCAATGTATCGATTTGTTCCTTTGAGAACGACATTGTAAACATTTACTGAAAATTCACAGGTCATTCACACTGAATCAACAAGAAAAGTCAGAAAAAAAGTAAAAATTTTCTCATCTTCGGGCACATGTTTTGTTTCAAATCGGTGTTATCAGTGTTTTTGACAGCCAAAACTTGTAGAAAAATAGAACGTGTTCTAACTTTCTTGCAAGAAATTATCTTCATGGATGTCACATAATTTCTCGTTAAAAACCATTCAAGTAGGGTGTCTACACTATCCAATTCAAGAGAATATGATACTTGCATCCAAGACTTGGATAGGTGTAGACGGGCACTTAAGTCTAGATGTAAGGGATATGACATGTTCTATTTTGAAAATCTTGTCGTACTGATTTCTTCAGACCTCCCACAATGACAAGTAACAGATTACCAAATTATCTGCTGATAATGGGTGTAATGAATGAAATTCCAGAACAATTAGGGCTAAAAGGTAAACATAGTAGTAAGATGGGGTAAAAATGATGTTGAAAAACTCTTCAGGAGACCCAAACTTGTGTTATGTTCAAATCCCAAATTGTTCCGAAAATGATTATGTCACGGTATTGAACTGTTCTCTAATCGGGGGGGGGGGGTAGTTTGTAGGCGGCCAGATAGCACAGTCTGTAGAACCGCAGTACGGTATTCCAAGGGTCCCAGGTTTGAGTCTCGATCAGGCTGCACATTAAAAAAAATTAACAATCTTTTTGTTTTTATTAAATGGAGGTGTTTCAATCATTACTCATGGAGAGAAAAAAACTATATAGTGAGTAAAATATGTAAGGGATCAATTTGGAGGGAAGTTTTTTTTAGGGAAACCTGAGATGATTCCTACAATGCAAAATTACCGTCTGAATGCAAGCGTTGTATTGCTTTGAAAATTGCACATCTTATCTCTAATTAGTGTTGTACGACTTAATCCTACCGTCTGTTGAGGCCTTTAAACATTGTCTCACTTCAGTTCTTCAAATGTCCTCTAAAACACAGGTGGCATGTGCAAGCTTCTTAGATAATTGTAATACACAATTACACATACACATATTGTGAGTGATTCATGTTCTTCTGTTATATGTTATTTTTAGGTTTGTTTGTTATAATGTTTATATTATGTAATATTTGTCTCTTGTAATTCTATTGTAGTATTGTCACATGCATCTTTACTTATTTTTACTATGTTTTATTACGTACATTATGTATTTGAAAGATACTTTAATAAATCAACTAATTACATTTAAATCAAACGAAATACATGATAGTTAATTATCATATTAAGAAGACCAACAAGTGACGCAATAAAGGCAATTTTAAATACACTTCGTTTTAACATTCTAATTAACTAGCCATTCAAGTCAAATAATATTGCGGTTTTATATAAATGTTTACAGTGTTTATTTTCTTTTTATTACACTGTACTTACGAGTATATTTAATTGCCATCCGTAAACAGGATATTGCGTCAAAACGTTCTATAAACTGACCTTACTTTTTACTTTAAACTTTGGAGGATCTAAGATTACAATGAAATAATATCCTTCATTAATGCGGCGTTCACACAGTGCCGATTATGGCTCCCGTTTGAGATCAGACAGCGCTACGACACGAAAAGCGAAAAAGTCGGATTACTATCCTTATTAATGATCTGGAATGTCCTATCATTGTCTGAACGCAGTCGTATATGTTCCTAACAGAGTCCAACGGATCGGAAATGGTCCGGAGAGGTCGGCCAAGCACTCCCGACAGTTAGGTGCGTCCCGTAACATTGGGGAAACTCAGCCGATTTTGTCTAGCCGGATTACAAACGTGACTATGTCGTAACAGATTCTGCTGTATCGGATCAAAATCGTGACAATGACCTGTGTTGTCTGGTCAGTGTCCTGTGGAACGGGCATGATCTGGAGAAATTTTGCATTGCCCTTTCTTGCCGATTGAGTCCAGATTGCGTCCAGATCTTGCCGAATGCGAACCGTCTTTGTCGAATCCGCTCCGGAACTGTTCTGTAATTAATACGAAATTCGGCAGTATTACCCACGTCAGAGTCACGACAATTACAGAACACGATGCGACTGAGTCCAGACAAAGGCGTGTGCAATGCGGTACAGCAGACTGTAATAGGATTGCGTTCCGGCATTGTCCCGATCATCCCGAATATGGCAACAGGATTTCAGATGCATGGGAACCCAGATTCGGCTGAGCTGCTCATAAACGGAGACTTCTGCAGCAGGTTGCTCTCATGGAAATGGAAGAAGAAGAAGACCTTCTGTTTGCCAATTATTATTTGAACAGAAGGGCACTGCGACCTTGTAGAAATAGAAGATACTGGGCTAAGCCCTGGATATACAGAAGGGAACAGCTCGGCCAGTATGACACATTGATGAGGGAGCTGAGAGAAGAAGATCCAGAAGCTTTCATCAACTTCATGAGGCTGCCCATGGAAACTATACGATGAAGCCCTGGCTCAGATCACACCCAGCATCACCAAACAAGATACCTGGTGGAGGCAAGCCCTTGATCCAGGACTGAAGTTTGAATCCGCCGTCGAACGATTCTTATAGGACGGGAAAATCACGGGACTATCACGTGAAACGGTTTTCTTACGGATGTCTTCCGCCAGAGTCGGTACATTGTCTGGTCACAGTCTGATCTCTGTCAGCTCGCATTCGGGAGAATCGGGACGCTGTCGGGACAGAATCGGTCGTTTTTTACCATGACAAAGATACAAAGTGGATCAGAATCGGATTGAGAACGGGATAATCGGGACGAATTCTGCTGGAAACGGCTGGATCGGGACGCCTCCTGAACAATATCTGATTGTTGTCGTGATTAAATAAATGTTTTTACAAATTTTAATAAAAGTTTGAATTTCCAGCCACGAATCACAGGATCTTGATCAGACTTTTGACACATTTTAATCGGGAATGGTCCTATCAAGGACGGCAGTAAAAATCCTGAATGTGTGACTTAGGCTTAACATAAAAAGTTGTGGGTTGACGATCTCGTTTTTTGAGTTATGTGTCCTTGAATTTTATTTGATTAAATTATCTTTATGGATTATCAAACATTCGTTTATTTTTCCGTTAGCAAGTAACATTCAAAGTTTATTTTGTAAGTGGAATGGCCTATAATTGGCACATTCGCCAAAAGAGTTTTGAAATATTGTAAAAAAAAAACTAATAAAGTTTTTCTTTCAAACATGTTGATAAGAGTTCTGAGTGATTAAAAATGAACATTTTCATGATAAATAATAACATTTTTTTCTTGGAATATTTATTATCATTTTTTATTTACAAGCAACATCCAATCATAAGCAAGCATATTCCTATCACTTTTGCGACAAAGGTGGAACATGGAGGCCACAATTTTAGCATGTGACTGAAAGTAGTTATGTCAAAGGTCCAAAGGATAATAGCCGAGGAGTTTATAAATTGCTACTTCATGTCATCCATAGTATATCATTGTGTTTATTCTTTGTTCTTTGCATATTATTTTTGCTTTACTTTTATTTTGGCTTTCTATTTTCTGAATTTAATACTAATTTATTCATGTGAAGTCTGATATTTTTTCCTCAAACATTTCATAATGAATTTATTTGTCAAGCAATGATTGATATCAATGATTTAAAATAAAAATTGGTCAGTAAAGAATAGTGAAACTTTGTTGTTCAAAAAGGTTATTTTATTTAATCTTGCTTTTGGTGTTTCATGAATTATCTAGAAATTTTAGTTTCATATAAACTTTACTGTAACATATACTAGATAAATGATATAAAAATACATTGTAGTATTTTCCTTTGTGTCTACTGGGAAGACGAATCAGTCTACTGACTTACTACAAAGAATGATACATGCAATGGATGTCTCACTCTTGTAAATTAATCAATCATAATATGAGCCGCGTCACGACAAAACCAACATAGTGGGTTTGCGACCAGCATGGATCCAGACCAGTCTGCGCATCCGTGCAGTCTGATCAGGATCCATGCTGTTCGCTTACCAACTCTATTACAAGTGGAGAAACTGACAGCGAACAGCATGGATCCTGATCAGACTGCGCGAATGCGCAGGCTGGTCTGGATCCATGCTGGTCGCAAACCCACTATGTTGGTTTTGTCGTGACGCAGCTCATAATAATTAATAGTACAGAAACCAATTTCTCGGAGTTCTATGAAAGCAAAACATATGACTGTAGGAATATAAGTATATAATCATTTGTTATCATTTCGGTAGATATGCATATTTAGCATTTATCTTATAACCATCCAAGGTAACATCTCTTTTATTATAAAAATGATACAAATGATACAAATACATGTTCATAGTTTCAGTTTTATTTTCTTATGAAATAAGATTCTTTTATCTTTTTGTTTTCGTGACATTAAAGGGACTCCACAGAAGTTTAAAAGCCTAAAACATAAAATTTGAATTTTTTTACATAAATGAGCTGGGGCCTTTAAACAGAAATATATGGAAAGATAGTTAAGAAATATACTTTGAAATAAATTGAAAATCGTATTTTTATGCTTTTCTTAGCCCGATTTGAGTGAAAAGTGTTTAAACGCTTTTTATTTTGGGTCACTTTTTTACAATTTGAATAATTATTCTGAAAAAAAAAACAAAAACGAAGTGCGTGAATGATCTTAAATTTTGCACAAAGATAAGTGGTCTACACCTACATCAATTGGTACATTTATCTGGAAAAAATATTTTCAGTCCCACCATGTCAAAAAACCTCAGTGGAGTACCTTTAAAGTCAAAGTCCAAAGTTAACTGAAAATTAGGCGTATTTATAAATAATTTGAAGACTAAAACATCAGTTATTATGACATGAGAGGATAAATAGAATTTAAAGTACAGCTAAACTTGGACATGCATTGCATTTGTAATTAATAAAAACTTCCAGACACATCTTGCTCTATAAAAACGACATTAAGTGCATACAGCCTAAATGTTTGTCAAAACTTAAGAATGTAAAATATCCCTTTGAACATTGTTACATAAATAGCAACATAATAGATGAAGACCGACTTATAGTTCATGTTTTGCTAAATGTTACTTAATATTTATAGTCATTCATACAGTATTTAAGGGACGTTTAGTGACTTGCAAGAGGATGAATTAATATTTTCCAACATTCATTTATTTTGTGTTTTAAAGATTTCCGAAGTTAAATGTTGTTGTTTTATATGATGATTGATATATGAGCCGCGCCATGACAAAACCAACGTTACACGTTTGCGACCAGCATGGATCAAGACCAACCTGCGCATCCGTGCAGTCTGATCAGGATCCATGCTGTTCGCTATCAGTTTCTCTACTTGTTATAGGGTTTGTAAGCGAACAGCATGGATCCTGATCAGACTGCGCGGATGCGCAGGCTGGTCTGGATCCATGCTGGTCGCAAACGCATAACGTTGGTTTTGTCGTGACACGGCTCATATTATTGATATGTTAGAGGCCTTGCCAAAAGGAAATAAGATTTGATTAACTGGCCATCAAAAGTGATCACATAGTTCTTATAACTTGTATAAAAGCTTGGAAAAGTGTTGACCTCACAAATTAGTGTTTGCCGGCTTGCCAACAAAATAAAGTTCTGTTGTACGCCTATAAGACATCTATATTTAGGAACATATAAAACAACAGAAATTTCAGATATTTCATGAATATTCAATACAATTTATCTAGTCTAACGAAACACTTTGAAATAATCATGAAGACGATGATGTTGCTCATACGCTCCATAGCAAATCAAAAATGTTCCGCGGCATCCATTGTTTACCCACGCATGCGCACCATATGTTCCAAATGTTCTCCCGAGAATACAGGAACTGATGGAATGTTGCTGTAAAAGCTGAAATAGTTTGACGTAGGAGTAAAACATATTATATAGATATAACGTAAATTAAAATAATTAGTAGAAACAGTTATAGATAAATTAGCAGAAACAGTTATAGATAATGGTATAGTAATGAAAGGATATTAAACAAAATGATTTAGATTAGAGATACAATACATGTAATATGTTATCAAGATAATATAACTTATGGAGCGACTGTTAGGGATAATATCGAATTTGTAATAAAAGGTCGCTGGTGAAATTTCGTCGTTAAAATTGGTCTCTGACATAAAGCTAAATTGGCGGATACCCTAGGGACAGTAACTCCGCTCTGAGCCACAAACTCATGTCATTTTTCTTGAATAATCTACCATATTCTACCATATTTGAAATGGATCACGTCAATAAATAAATTTTCATGGAAATTTATGCCATTCTATCCGTTTCTTTTATCACTGACATTAACGTTTGAATTTACAACTCCATTTATAACGGCGAAATGACGTGATCGTTAAAACGCCCTTTCATTAAAAAAATGCGCCAAAATGGAATTTCAAGCATTGGTACTAACGGAAACAATAGTGTTATATGCAAGAAAAGCCGATTACGTTGACCAACTGCCGAGATATAAAAAACAGACAAACGAACTATATCAGTCCCAAGTAGCCTGTAATTTTGTTTATTTTATAGTATCGTAATGACTGTGTCTTTTTCAGTATGATCTGTAAGAGTGAGCTTTAAAGAGTCAGTTATTTTCACTCCGTCGTTCTTGATATATTGGGATTATCTAAGTATTTTGTGTTAACAAAACTTTATACTTGAGTTATATCATGATAATTATTGGATGTTGTTTTTGTGTAGTTGTAATTTAGAAATGGATGATCCAAAAGAAATCTTAAGCGTCAAAGATAGCTGTGAAAGTGAGTAATTTAAATTGAGTAAACAATATTCGTGAAATAGCCAGTTAAAGAAACAAAAGTGGACAAGCTAATTTTCAGTTATACTTCGAGAATGAAGAAGGCCTAATTCAATGTACTAATGAGCCGTGTCATGACAAAACCAACATAGTGGGTTTGCGACCAGCATGGATCCAGACCAGCCTGCGCATCCGCGCAGTCTGATCAGGATTCATGCTGTTCGCTTACCAACCCTATTACAAGTAGAGAAACTGATAGCGAACAGCATGGATCCTGAACAGACTGCGCGGATGCGCAGGCTGGTCTGGATCAATGCTGGTCGCAAACCCATTATGTTGGTTTTGTCGTGACGCGGCTTAAATAGATTTTCTACGATTAACAAATTGTCAAGCATCAACATAAAATTTTGAATACATATAATTTAAATCATCGTCGGATACCCACGATTGATAAACATGTCATATAACTGATGAATGTTAATGGTTCGACCGTGGGTATCCGACGATGAATTTAAATATATGCCAATTAATACATCATATAATATATAATATATCATTTTATTCATCATTTTATTCAACACTTAAAGCCGCAAAAATCCCTGCCCTGGTAGGGAGAATTTTGTAGGCGTGTTTATCAAATAAATCATGCAAAGGACGCTGTACCTGTGCTAAATTTAGCTGATGTAAACAAACACTGCCACGTGTATTTGTTTACAACCTGCAGTTCATGACCCCATTTACTCCGCCCCGGGATTTTCAAATTTTTGACAGTTAACTGATTTTTTTTTCACAAAGTAAATTTAAGTGAATCTTTTGTGATATTTTCTCTGCCATTTTATTTCAAATGTTGCAAAGAAGTTAAACAAAAAGTTTTTAGGCAAAATACTTCTTGGTTATTTTACTATTTCAAAAAAAGACTGTTAGATGTGAAGCATGTCAAAAATACCATGAAAATCTGCCCCAGCGCCAGCTAGTGGCTTAAATAGTCAAGTTGCAGGTTTAATGTATATTAAATAAGTAATATATCTTACCTTTATGTTACTGATGTAATCTTTACCTTTACAAATTACACGAGACAAATTCAAACTGCTCACACAATGGATGATTTCACATCTGTTTCTATCTTAAAAAAAATATAGTCATTTACAATTAAAGTATTTATTAGCGATATCAACTAATCTGCAAAAATAAAACAAAACAATAGAATATATAGAGATTTTATTGTGTTTTTAATACAGATATACAGATGTTGTACATCTTTTGCATTGTTTTGGTTTGGTTTTACGTCACACCAACACAGTATACGTCATATGGCGACTTTTCCAGCTCAGGTCCTCAGGTACCCTTCCGTGCATTATTTCAGGTACAAACGGGCACCTGAGTAGAACCACCGGCTTTATGTCTTTGCAAAGTACAATATTTATTCTTTTCATCCATCTGATATAAATGTAACAAAATTATTATACTAAACAATGGCATATAATTTTGCACGTTGTAACACACATTATTTTATTACGGGTCGAAACGAGACCAAAACTTAAAATATAATTACTGTTTTATACGACTGTTTATTTATTTAAATTAAGATGGTAAAACCTACTTTGTGATAAGCCAGCTGTTGTTGCGCATAGAATCAAAACAACCTGGACAACTCGCTCAAACATCATGATGAAAATATCTATCTGCAACTTATAATATTAAAAAGAATATAATAAGAATATAATAAGAGAAAAACATAGTAACTTATTAGCCACAATCAATGATTAAATATCTTCATCTGACTGGTAGCTTCTACAACACGTATTTATACATGTATGTCAGTTAACAGAAAACTGGAAATTAAAGGCACATTATGCCTTTTTAAAAGAATTTTTTTTTACTTCTTAACAATGGATTAAATTATCATTAAATAATGGTTTACAGCAAGCTAGATGCTTATTACCTTTGGTTTCTTTGCTCAGAGAGCATGCTAGATGCTTGTTATCTGAAGAAAGTAGCCTTAAATGTGTGGGGGTTTTTTTTTGCCCTAAAACCAGCAATTTGAAAGTAGTATTTTGACTTTTATACAAAATAGCAAATCACTATAACTGTACTTATTGCCTAAACAACAAAAATATACGATGGTTCAGATGATTGAGTAGTATTTTTGAAATTACTAAAGGACAAAAAAAAACTGTTAAGAAATATAATAAAAGAAGATCTGGGGCAAAATGGGCCTTTAACAAGCTGTTGTAGAGTACATAGTATTTGGCAGTCAGCCAAAATTGTTATTAACTTAAATTCATTGTGTCACGATGTCCAAAGAAATAAACAAAACGTAAAAGTGCCGTATTAATTATAAAAAAAAATACATTTTGAAATAATTCACATAACATGCCTTTCTTTTGATTTATTCGCAAAAGAAACGACATAAATGTTGCATTAAATGCAAGAAAAATTATTTGTCATGTTTTGCGGCGTTCATGTGTCAACATACTTTGTATCAAAAAGACCAGAAAATGTCTGTCTATTAACGCTAGAGCTGTGGTTTTAAACCCCAAAGATTGAATTTGTTTCCTGTTGTTTCTTATGACATTGAAGAATAAACATAGGTCTAGTGGTTGTGTCCTTTGTTGATTTTTTTTGTATAACTGCTTATTAAAGTGAGAATTTGAGAATTAAACTTCAAATTGCCGAAATAGTACAATTAATATTTTTGGAACAAGAAAACATATAACTAGAAATGTGTCCATAGGACACGAATGTCACCAATCTCCACTATCAACTGACGTACAACAGGACAGTATGACAGAAGAGCACAAAGGCAATTCTACATAACTGCCCCTACCCCTTGGTTGGTGCATAAAAACGACATCCTTTTTTTCAGTCTTGACATCTTGATTATTCCCAATGGCAATGCAAAACTACACATGCTGCTCAACAGTCCTGTAGAGTTTCTTGACTTTAGTTCAAATACTTTTTGAGTTACGCAAGACACAAGATGTAAATTGCAAATCTTTCACTAATTAGTAAAGGGCGATAACTCTACAAAAGAGAATAAATCCACAAGCAAACCCCTAGGTGCGCGACTAAACATGCTGACCAATTGTTCTAGGCTACGCGTGTCACAAGTTGAAAATTGTCAATTTTTATAAAGTCTAGGGCAATAACTCTGACATCTGACTGAATCCATCTATATGCAAAACCCCCAGTTGCACAACTTCACATGCTGATCAACATTTTTGTAAAGTTGCATGACTCTAGGTTAAGTACCTTTTTGGGCTACGCACGACATTTGTTGAAAAATGCAAATTTTTATTAGGTCAAGGTCAATAACTATACAAATACTGAATACTGAATAAATGCATAAATAAACCCATGTGCACAACTCTCATGCTAACTGAATAAATCCACACGCGAAAACCCAGGCGTACAAGTATACATGCTGATCAACATTTATTTTTATGACCCTAGATCGGCTACGCTCGACACAAGTTAAAAATACAAGTTTTTATTAAGTCAAGGGCAATAACAGAATACTAAATAAATAATCACACAATCCCTGAGATGCTTATTAAAATGTATGTAAAGCTTGGGCTATGCGAGACACAAGTTGAAAAATGCAAATTTTTACTAAGGGCAATAACTTTAAAAATACTGAATAAATCCGTATGCAAACCACCACTTTTAGAGGTTCATGCGACACAACATAAGAACGGACGGACGGTCGCATGAACGGACAAGGGCAAATCTAAATGCCACCCACACCTCCTAGAGTGGGGACACAAAAACACACGTCAAAATTAAATTCAATAAGAATTCTGCTATGTCCTTGAATAGGCAAAAGTTTGTAGTGACGGAATTTCTTTTATTAAAATGATTTGCATGTTAACGAAAAACATTAAGTACTATTAGCAATAAATCGCATCAGAATAAAGAGCACATTTTTTTAGAGAAAAATACAAAGTTTTTTATTAGTCGACAACTATATAATTCATATCTGAAATATTTTAATTTTGATTAGTGGTAAAGTAAAATATGTCATTAAATATAAATGAAAATACTCGTTCCATTTTTTTTATAAAATACAAATAAGATTACATTTACTGTTAATCAATATTTTTATTATCCATAAGCTCACTGCATAACATTTTATATAAAGCTTTGTAATTAATATAAGTTTCATGAAACATTTTAAAATACTTACGAGATAATTGAAAACTCATAAAAGCCATACCACACCAAACATGGAAAATTACAAAAACTCGAAAGGTAAATTGACGGTGAACTTGTTCGCTAATGATTATAATCCTGCCCGTTTGTAACGTCAATTTTCATTGGACAGTCGTGATGTTTATATTATCTATATACACGACTGCAACATATTGTATTAATCATTTTCAATTTTAGTTGAAAGAAAAGCAATGGCAAAGTATTCATAGTCTTTCTCCAGCAAAACATCTCGAGGGGCGTGTCATAGGTGTTGAAATATAAAACAAGTGGCTAAAGACTACTCCATATACATTATTTTGTCAAAAATGTGGAAACAACATGCACTATGCAAGGGATAGTTGTATGGACGATTTTGATATGGAGAGAAGAGTTAAATAGTGTCCTTATTTATATGATAAAAAGAGTACAATTAGACATCAACTACGACAGATAATTTACGTTTTTAAGAACCATATCTCCATGAGGCGCTACGTTAAGGCTCTCTTCAACAACGTCATACTTCTTTTACCGATGGTAAAGACACAAGCTCAATGATAAGAGCTGAACACTACCTCAGTCCTAGGCAAGACGTATTTTGAACATATATAAACACCTTTAACGACATTTTGTATGTGCGCTAATTCACTCGGTCATTATGCAAACTTAATGTCAAGTAGCAAGGCAGCCGAAATAGCATATTGACCTAGTTCTTGCCATACTGGCATAACATTACCCTAAAGTTTATTACTGTATGTAGTAATTTAGCCAATATTATTCTTTATTATATACTTGTACTTGCAACAAACTTCACAATAATGTTTCCAAAGAAGCATAGCAATTGGTCAATCTTGGCTATGTCTATTTTTGTTGTTTATAATGTTTAATACTTTTTAACGAGAATACATTTTGTTTCAGCATGAAATTAGATAATAAATGCATTATACCATCTTTATAACATCTTTATCATGGTTATTAACATGTGGTATATCAAAGAACTATTCGTTTCTGAATTGCTTCCCTTTTTGTTTAATGTGCCAGTATATTAGTTTAAGTTTTCTTAATTTAATCCTGCCATCAGGAGAAATGTAAATTTTGGTATCTAAACTACATTTTAACAATAAAGTAGCACTGTTTTCATTTTTTTATTCATTCATTTTACAACGTTTAAATTTGACAAAGGTGTGTGCTTTTAGGAGTCTTAGGCTGGTTGAACTTTCAAGAAAAAGGAAAAAAGAAAAAACACAAACTTAATGAAAATTTCAATTAAGTATGCTTGTTTTGTTGGTCACCCTGAGGTTTATCAGCGTCCCGCTAAAAAGCGTGTTTTCGCTCCGCGCCCCCGCCATTTTAACTTGTTAATACTCGACTTGGCGGGGTTGCGGGGCGAAAACACGAACGGCACAAATCAGCCACCAAACTTATCTACAGTTGTAACAGTTCCGGTCTTAAAGGGTTAAAACCCGCGAATATGAACTGTTTACAGGGAAGCGTGCCTTACTATGCTGCAGCCATTTTGATTTGCGTTGCACACTGAAGTCTCGTTTTATCCTTGATGTTGTATCCCACGGTTTAAAGTATCAAAAATATGTTTGTCATTACAAATCTGATACGACACATAAACCAACATTACAGGGCTTAAACCATAAAGCATTCCTGTACACAGAATCAGAAGCCTTCTTTAGGTCTGTAAAAGCACAATAAAGGCGTAACTTTTGTGATAAAAATATTCGATTAAAGAATTTCAAACGAAAATCACGTCGACTGTACTTGCACCGTGACGGAAACCGAACTGAGCATCCGAAGATACGTTAAATTGACATGACCAATTTTCAGCAGTCTTTGTTAAAACACTAGTTAACAATTTTCCGAAATTACTATTAAGTGTTATTCCTCTGTAGTTATTGGGAGCATTTTTGTCCCCCTTTTTCTGTACGAAATCTGCTGTGGTCATAGTATTATTTTCTGTACGAAATCTGCTGTGGTCATAGTATTATTTTTACAATAGGTTTATCTCTTAGATTTGGTTTGCTAAATTGCTAATCATGGTCATGCAACTACATAGTTAGGTGAAGAAGCAGGCGCTTGTTTTGGTTGAGTCTATTATGTTTTGTTTAGGGGGTTGAGTTGTCATACACAAATTTACAATTTATATGCATTTATTTTTTTCCAATGATTGCATGTTATTATCTTAAATGCTTCTAGTATTGTTGTTTTATCAATTCATTTGTAAATAAGATTGTTATATGTCTATTAACGGAATAATTTTAATGAACACGAAATTAGTTCACACCTACATGTGTATTGGTAACGTGATGGTTTAAGCCAATGAAAACACGTCAATATTTTTATACTCAGGCAGAGAAAAAGTGTGCAAAGAGTAAATCGATAATCTTTATGTAGCCAGCAAACTTTGAATTGCAAGTATTTTTTCATATCTTTTCTGTCCGAGGATTCGTATCGTAAAATGGCTGCCATTTACAGTATCAAGTGATTATCCCAAGCACCACCGCGACTTAGCGCGGGAATTTTAATTATAGCTAACCTCGGCGCGTATACCTTTTTCATATTTTATTGTAATAAATATTTACAAACTGTGTCTATCGGGGTTTTTTTTTATCAATATATAACCAGTAATAATGTTAATATGAATAAATAATCATATCTCAAATCTTTGACTATGATTTACAATGAAATTCTACCTTAAGTGTATTAAAAAGGTTTTTAATTTCCTGTAATTTTATTTTGTGATTATGCTTCAAAGCAGTCAATTGACCGTGAATTTTCTTTTCATATTTTGATTTCCTTGAAATCATTTTTCTCATCTGAAGGCATGCAACTTTAATATGGTGATACATTAATTACATTCCATGAAAATGTTTAAAGATAAAAAATATCTCATGACATGTTTGTTCATTTTACATTACACCTTTAATTCAGCAAACATAAAGTCTTCACAAAAAGTAGTATGCAATCGATTTGCAATCGTACCTATATTACATACAAATGTATGTAATATTTTTCTTGTTAAATTGGGACGATATAACTTTGGGGAAAAGACCTGAATCAAACATCTTATTAAAACAGTCGGTTAAATGTTCTTCAGTTTCTATAAAATACTCATTAAGTAAATTATCAACAGGACATGAGGCTTTATTACGATTCATACGACTTATTGTTTCACGAACTTCTTCTGTGGTTATTGGGATATTAAACGACTCAAACGTAGGATTACTTACGTTAAAATCATTATTATTTACAAAGTTATCCATAACTGTGTCGCATGTAATTCTTAAACATATTTGAAAAGTACTCATGAAATTCTGTTGGCGTAATATTGCTTGTATTATTTTCTTTTTATTTTGTTAAAAATGTTTCCACAAGTCTCGGCGTTTCTTATGTCGTAAATCACTTAATTCTTCAGACTTACGTAACTTAAATACACCGTTCTTTTCTCTTATCAATGATTTATACTTGCATTTAGCATTACGTAGTAAATCCCTGTTTGATTGCATTTTATTAAGATTAAAGGAACTAAGAGCCGGTTGATATTCTTGCCGCGAAACTCTGCATCCATTATCATACCATTCTTAGTTACAATTGCTATAAACATTACAATTCGAATAATGGGACTCCACTGAGGTTTGAAAGCCTATAAAAACATAACATTTGAATTTCTTACATAAATGATCTGGGCACTTGAAACAGAAATATATGCAAAGATAGTTAAGAAATATACTTTGAAATAAATTGAAAATCGTATTTTTATGCTTTTCTTCGCCCGATTGGAGTGAAAAGCATTTAAACGTTTTTCAACATGGATCATTTTTTTACAATTTGAATAATTATTCTGGAAAAACGAAGTGCACGAATGATCTGAAATTTTGCACAAAGATTAGTGTTCTAAACCTACATCAAATGGTACATTTATCTGGAAAAATATTTTCAGTCCCATCAAGTCAAAAAACCTCAGTGGAGTCCCTTTAATATATGGATCAGCAGTCCTTTGAATAATCGCAGAAAAAGAATCAACCATTTGATCAATATTATCATTACGAATATTATCAGCGTTTATTTGAGACAAAAAATCATTAAATTGCGGTAGCTTAGCGATAACATCCTTTCTAAATGCAGATTTACTGTGTACCGTTGTTTTAAAATTGGTATCCGGTTTGATTAGTGTTTATTAGTCGCCGGTAGAAACCGGCGACTATATTTGTAATAGTTTAATATTATACCTATTGTAGGAGAAGGCCTTAAAATCTGTAAATAAAAGCATATCAATTACTTAACAATTAAAGACTACAATTGTTTTCAGTAATCTCAAAAATTCAAAGATACAATAACGTTGCTCAATGAAATAAAATAATCAAATATTGACATCTTAGAAAGCAACATTAAAATTTTCTGTACGAAATCTACTGTGGTCATAGTATTATTTTTACAATAGGTTTACCTCTTAGATTTGGTTTGCTATTTCTAATCATGGTCATGCAACTACATACTTAGGTTAAGAAGCAGACGCTTGTTTTGGTTGAGTCTATTATGTTATGTTTATGGGTTGAGTTGTCATACACAAATTTACAATTGATATGCATTTATTTTTTTCCAATGATTGTTATTATCTTAAATGCTCTTGGGATTGTTGTTTTATCAATTCATTTGTAAATAAGATTGTTATATGTCTATTAACGGAATGATTTTAATGAACACGAAATTAGTTCACACCTTTATGTGTATTGATAGCGTGATGGTTTAAGCCAATGAAAACACATCAATATTATTACAATCAGGCAGAGAAAAAGTTTGCAAAGAGTAAATCGATAATCTTTATGTAGCAAACAAACTTTGAATTGCAAGTATTTTTTTCATATCTTTTCGGCAGGATAAACTGTCCGAGGAGGGCCAGGCATTTTCGTATCGTAAAATGGCTGCCAAATACAGTATCAAGTGATTAACCCAAGCATCACCGCGACTTAGCGCGGGAATTATAAAGCTTACCTTGGCGCGTCGCATAGGATGGAAAATATCTTTTTCATATTTTATTGTAATAAATATTTACAAACTGTGTCTTTCGGTTTTTTTTATCAATATATAACCAATAATGATGTTAATGTGAATAAATAATCATATCTC